TTATCTAAAAATTTTAAAAGCAGATATTTCTGGGCTTTGTAAGCAAATAAGTGGGTTTCCTCTGAAGAGTCAAGTGGAAGTGAGCTCTAAGCATCCTCCTCAGGTCAATGTCTGTGCATTACATTCTTTCAGATGAGGGAAGAGTTCTGGGCACACAATCACCCAGATCCTGCTGCCCCTGATGGGGGCAGGTGGGTATATACCATGCGTAGTGCTGGGATCACTTCATATCTCAATGTCTTGTTCAGGGTTCTCTCCCCATGTGAAAATGATCATACTCCAGAACACAAACTTGGCCAGACAGTGACCATGACTAATATTTGTGGAGTTCATCGTCTTCTCCAACGGTTTAGATTTCCAAAATAGAGTCTAGGGAATTTATTTCACAAAATATAACTGAATGTGCTTAGAGGATTTGAGTCCTGGTGTCATTATGTCTAGCTATGACTTTGAGTAATTTATCTGAATTCCCTAAGTCCCACTATTTCCTCTGTAAAAATGAGGCAATGAGAGTACCCACTTCCTAAAGTTCCTGTGATGATGGCCTGAGCTAATGAGGGCAAAGCCCTCAGAAGAGAGTCTAGTGCATACTGAGCTCGCTGGACAAGCTAGTGGTGGAGAGCTCTTTCCCCACCTCACGTCTTGTCCTGGATTGAGAGCTCTACTCTCCATTGCTCCTATACTCATGGCTTGCCACCAGCTCATTCATTCTGCTGAGGTGGAGTGGCTTATCAGATTCATGAATTTGGAAGCAGAATCTGGACATTCTTTGTCCAGCCCTTCCTTCCTGGTTTCTTTTGAGAGTAAATTTGACTTTATAAATCTGGCATGGTTGTTCTCCGCTAAGGCAGTAAGCTTAATGATAAATGCCTAGGATAGTCAGTACATCCAATTCTGGGGTCAGAAGGCAATCCTGTTCCTTATGTCAGTTCAGTCACTAATAAAGGCTTGTGCATGAGTGTGTGTGTGTGTGTGTGTGTGTGTGTGTGTGGTTTAGTCTCTACCTTCTTTAATCCTTTGTTTTAATTTTCATTTGGTTCACCACTCAGGAGAAAAAGGGTACTCCTTAACAGGGTTCCCTCAAACACTAATACAGTTGCTAGTCACTTATCATTGGAATCAAAACCTGATTGAGTTCAGTTTTGGGCAGAAGTGATAGTAGTTTGACTTGACTTTCCCAGCAGAAACAAACCAAATTGTCTTCTCTGCAAGAACCTTTTGGGAATGGAGTCTTTACACCTGGCTTCTGAAAATGTGCCTACTACCAGTTGTGGAAGACAAACTTAAGGATTCAGATTTCCAACCCCTGGTGGAAGCATGGTCCTGAAGACATATATTTAAAATTTTATTAATTTTTCGGGTATTTCTTCAGGACTTACCACACTAGAGAGTCATTTGGTATAATAGCTAAATACAGGCTTGTTTTTAAATCTCTACTCTGCTTATTACTAGCTGTGAAATTTTTAGCAAATTACACTAATTCTTTCAGTTCACACATTTGCAAATTGGAAATAAAAGTACCTGTCTTATATGCTTATTGTGGAGATTAAATAAGTTCACAAGTGTATAGTGTTTGTTAGACACCTAGCATGTAGAAAGCATGCAGTAACTATTAACTGGTTAAGGCTTTTTTTTTTTTTTAAGATTTATTTATTTATTTATTTATTTATTTATTTATTTATTTATTTATTTCTGAGAGAGAGGAGAGAAAAGTCTCAAGCAGGCTCCCTGCTGAGTGCAGACCCCAATGTAGGGCTCGATCTCATAATCATAAAATCATGACCTGAGCTGAAATCAAGAGTTGGATGCTGAACCGAAGGAGCCCCCTAAATGCCCCTAGTTAAGAATATTTTTAAAAATGATATGCCAGGGGCACTTGAGTGGCTCAGCCAGTTGAGCATCTGACTTTTGATTTCAGCTGAGGTCATGATCTCAGGGTTGTGAGATCAAGACCCACGTTGGACTCTGTGCTGGGTATGGAGCTTCTTGGGATTCTCTCTCTCTCTCTCAAAAAAAAAATTAAATGATGGGCCACGCATCGGGCTCATTTTTTAATGAGATGATGAATGAAATGGACACTGAAAGTTTCAGTTTGGACTGAGTTACACTGTTTAGGTGTAAATCAGTTTCCACTCTTTACTATTTTAATTCACTGAGCGCTTCCAAGATGAGTGAAGTACAATGAATGACAAAAATAAATACGTGGACTAAAATCAACATTTAAACTACATTTTAAGAGCAGTTTGGTTTTCACAAAATGAATCGAACCATTTTTGCTTTAAGAGCATTATGCAAATGACTCCAGGTGGTTCTAAAACTAAACATTAATCTATGATTTTTGAGATGTTTTACATATTTAAAATAAAAGCTATTTTAAATCAAGAAAATGTTCCAAGAAACATATTTTAGATGGAATGGTTGGAAGGTTCAAACACCTTTTCTTGTGGCACCAGGATCATCCATATAGGATCTAGCTTGAAGTTGCTCCCTTTTGATGCAGGGAAATGTGTTCGAAAAACAGGAGGCGTCTCGTGACAGCAGTGCCCATACGTGTGTCAGTCTTCAAAACAGTGTTGTCAACCATTCCTAACAGAAGTAGGGAGGGGAAAAAAGAAAAAACAAAAACAAATGCAAACAGAGCTTTGGAATCTTTCAAAATTGACTTACAACCCCAAACAGGATGTACTAGAGGGTCAGTTTCACTCCCACAGGAAATAACCTCCTGGTCATTATTGCTGAGGCTGAGGAAGGACGCTGGGTGGGGGAATGTGAGTCACTTAGCATTCACAAAGTGGTGGTGGCCGGATTTAAACTGCCAGTCAGAGTCTGAGAAGTCTGACGGTTCTGCTGAATGAGTCAGGGGTAGTTCATGGACTAGGTCTCAGCACTGACTGTTCCCACTCCTTTTCACCACATTGGGATGGCTGAGTATAAAGAGGGTCAGAAAGGAACAGACAACTTCAAGACAATTTATATTTGAATAATGCGTAGGAATTTTACAATCATATTTTTCATTACAAGAGCAATAAAACAACATGAGAGGTGAACACACCACACTTGTCCCTTCTTTTACTTACCTTTCTAACACCTGATTGAATCATTTGGGTTTATCTTTTTCGGTCTCTCTCTCTTTTTTTTAAGATTTTATTTATTTGAGAGAGAGAGAGAGAGAGAAAACATGAGCTAGAGAGCATGAGAAGGGGGAGGGGGTAGAGAGAGAAGGAGAGGCAGGCTCCCTACTGAGCAGGTAGTTGGACATGGGGCTCTATCCCAGGACCCTGGGATCATAACCTGAGTCAAAAGCAGAAGCTTAATTCGCTGAGTCATCCAGGTGCTCATGACCTCTTTTCATGTTAAGAAAATTGTATGTGCAGTTTTGCCTTTCTTTTTATATTTTACATTGGACTATACAACCAATTGTTTTAATGGTTGTATGGTATTTCCTCTAACGGATGGTCTGTAGTGAAATTATAAACTTTCTTACTATTGAACATTTGGACTCGTTTTAATTTTTTTTTTTGCCACTAGAAATAGTGGTGCACTGGATAGTTTGTACAGATGTCTACTTTATATCTTTGGATTACTCTTTTTGGATTGGTTTCCAGAAGCAAATTCATGGAATCAAAGTAGATGAGCATTTTTATGACTTTTGTTTCAAATTCCTTTTGCTCATCCAGCAGCAAAATATAAGAAAACAAGTATCACTCTAGTTTCATCTATTTCAAAGGAAGTAGATGTTACCGTGTAGTAAAAATTGTTAATTTTAAGGAGCCTAAGTTACTACTTCATTGTTGTTTAATTTGGCACTTTTCTTTTCCCCATATTCTGGGTATTGTCTTTTTCCTGAATTGGCTGTTCTTAAATTTGCCTACTGGAGTCATGGTGTTTTCCTTATCATTTTGTCTTTTTCCCATGTGAAGATATTGGTCGTATTACGAGTAATTCTTATAAACACTTATTCATAGTGTATTGTTACCCTTTAAATCTATTTTTAAATATGATCATTGTCATAGGAAGTAGCACGCAAGAGTTAACATTTTTAAGACAGAGGTACAAAGACTTACTGGACGATTATCTTTTAGTCCAGTGGTAGCTTTATGTAACCTGGAGTCATAAAACACACATACCCCCACATCCACATCCACACCCACCCGCACTTCCCCGTTGACGCTACATTCTGAGCAACCAACAGCCAGACTGGTCTACTCATTGTTTTCCAAAGTCTTGCTCTTTTGTGTCCCCTATTCCTTTTTTTTGTGTGTGTTCCCTATTCCAAACATCCTCTTCCCTCCTCCATAAAGGCTTTGTTTATGTTCAACAGCAGTTGTTTCTGTTTTGAATTCCTGTAGCTCAGTTGGCACTATCCACAGTGTATCTCGTATTGCTATTTAACTGCCCTCTGATCTGTTTTACCTCCTTAACTAGAACAGAAACTCTTGACAATTGAAGTCATCGCTTATTGCCTATTTATATCTTTATTACTTGTTTATATCTTGCACAGTACATGGCAGCCTGAAAAATGACCATGCTGCATGTGAGATTAAGTAGCAAAATATATAGAGGAAACCGTGAGTCTATAAGGCTTTCAGAAATCTAGATAAAGGAATATTATCTTAGAGTTAATTTTCCAAAGTGGAATTTAGAAATAGCATCTTTAGAAGAATCAACTGTTAGTGGTGAGTGATCATTTTGCACGTAATAAATAGTGGTACGTGGTATCCTTCACACTGTCACACAAAAGGGCACATGCACTTCTGGCTTCAGCCTGTATCTCCAGGGACAGGTGTGATCCAGATCATGTTGAGCAAACTAAGGCAGCTTACCAGATTTTCATTTAGTTTTATTCTAGGTAACTGTATAGAAGTCCATTTCCTCCTTGATACTATCAAGTAACCCACTGGGCTGTTGAATCTAGAAATTGAGACAGGAGATAGGAGTCAAATTTGCAGACTATTAATAAAGGTTAAATTTATAAAGCAGGGCAGATATATAAATCTGGTCTATGGAGCAGGGGACTGAGGACCAGGACTTCTGGCAATGGCAGTGCTGTATGCTCCATTCTGGGTATCAGAACAGTTTGTAAGGAGCTGCTGGATGTTGTCATGGGCCTTTTTACTATGTGATGGTAAAGCCACAGTTCTGGTGGAGGAGGCCAGTAGGAGGAGGGGTTGGGAGAGCATGAAGGGAGCTGGCCCAGAAACAGATGCAGGATCTTACATCAAGAACAAAAAACATTTACTAAATAACACAATTTGACAATTGCCTTTATAAGACTCAGGGAAGGGAGAAGAAATGTGTGGGAGATATCAGAAAGGGACACAGAACATAAAGACTTCTAACTCTGGGAAATGAACTAGGGGTGGTGGAAGGGGAGGAGGGCGGGGGGTGGGGGTGAATGGGTGACGGGCACGGAGGGGGACACTTGACAGGATGAGCACTTGGTGTTATTCTGTATGTTGGTAAATTGAACACCAATAAAAATTAATTTATATAAAAAAAAACAAAAACAAAAATAAATAAATAAATCTTTTAAAAAAATAAAATAAAATAAATAAAATAAAACAGAAAAAAATAAAAAAAAAGACTCACTAGCTGTTGTTTCTACCATTTAAAGAATTATCTCTTACTTCCACACTACTTTCTCTATATTAGCAACCTCATGCAATCAGGTTTTTTTTTTTTAATTATGAAAAAGCAGCACTTTGGGGAAATAGGTAGAGGGAGACCATTAGCTTCCCTGCATCCTCATTCTCCAAAATAAGCTATTATGCTGAATCCTACAAGCTTGGCAGCCAGCCCAGGCTAAGGAGAAAGATAAACTATTCTAGAGGACTCTAGGAGCCATCTAATATTTTATCTTAAGTGTTTTCCTCATCTTCTTCCTTTTTTAAAATTATAAGTTCCCTTTGCTACTTCCTAGTCTTCAGCAGCAACCGTGTTTGGGAGATTTAGAGGAGGTACCTGTATCCATATTTTTTAGAAAATTAGTATCTGAAGAGCACAAGAAGTTTGGAGAAGTAGTTTTCAGTGTGATTAAGGGGTTAGCAGAGAAAAATAGAAATTATTTGTTTGGATTGCTTGTTATGTGTCAAACACTATGCAGCATACTTTCCATTTCTTTAATCTGCACAGCAGCACTGTACGAAGTACATATGGTCACTGTCTCCATTTTATAGATGCTGAAAGTGATGCTCAAACAGGTTAAGAAATCTGTCCAAGGTGACATGGCTAAGAAGTGATGGAACCAGGGAGCAAACCTGGAGTCTCATGCCAGAGCCCATACTCCCAGCCCCTATGTTATTGGGTCAGTAGTTCCAGGCAACCAGTAGCCACTAGGGAAGGTTTGAAGAAAAGCTTCCCCAGAAAGACTCCAAAATATTTAGGGAGGGTGTGAACTTCTTGCTTTCATGCTGGACAGGAACTGTGTATTTTAAAAAAGTGTTGGCCTCTTAAAGACCGGACAGACATGAGAAAAACACCTTCAACTTCCACCACAGAACATACACTCTTTCACTCAACGTATGCTTGTGAGGAGAGGTTCAGGGGGAGAAGGCACATGTGTCTCCAAGTTTTATGCCTAGGGCTAATGGAGCAAATGGACTTGATGTAAAATATATTTTTAACAACCAAATACACAATTTTCTGGTTTGTGTATTTGTAGCAGATCTCTCTCAGAGTCTGGGTATTATAATCAGCATCTCCTAGAATAATGCAACCAGTTTTGCACCAAGTAGAATTAAAAACATATTCCCTACGTCATCTGGAATTCCCCAGGATTCAGGCTACAGGCAAGCTGGCGTAGATGCTGTGAGGTGCTGCCATTGTATTTCTCTGTGGCCCACTTTCATTTCCAGCGCCCTACAGTGTTTCATAACTTGGGATCTTGCTGCAAAGTTGGCCTAGGGTTTTGAAGAGCCCAAGATCCCTAAGTGACCTATCCAAGTTCATAGTAGACTGTGAAATTAACCAATGTTTATGGGATTTTTCTGGATAACTTTGGTGAGCTTGGGGCAGATTAGATTAGCACCTTCATTATGGAGCTCCTGTTTTGTGACAGGTATTGTGGTTAGTTGAGCAAACTGCCTTCAAGTTGGAAGATCCCAGATGGATAGTTGACATGGCCATGAAGTCTTCAGACCAGTCAAAATTTCAGCCCAAGGCAGAGAAGTGGTAGCGGCTCACATACATGACAACCCTAGCTACTCCAATAGTGTGTGGTGGCTAATGTGATTTAAAACAAATATTCTGGGATCTTCTGAACTTTGCTTTTCTTTATCATTTATCTAATATTTACTTAAAAATATAAATTCAATTTCCACTGTACCCTGGACTAAGAAATTTACAAACTGATTAGCAGGTAAACTCTTTCAGATTAAGAAAAATACATTGATAATTTCCATAAATACAAGACTCTCTTTTCTCCAAAATAAAACTTTTAAAAAGACTGCTTTAAATTTACCTCACTATTGGTCTCAAATTGAAGGCCTTCTTTATACAGTCTGGTTGTAGCTGGTTCAAGAAAGACTGTGTTAGTACAAACAATGGAACAAACGACCATTCCTATCAGTTCACCTATCACATTAGACCAGATTCAAATCATTCACACCTGGGCCTGTGATCTGAAATTGGTGGTAATCTCAATTGGTGGGAAGAAGGGTCACATTAAAAAAAAAAGGCTTAAAAAGCCTTTTATTATAAAGATTATGTAAAAAATGTGCAGGAATTTTGGAAAGAGAGAAAAAATAATCTATTGTCCCATAATCCCAAATACATTTATGTTAAGCCGTGTTGAGAATGAATGCCAGACCCATGGGTAATTGGAACAGACAGTGTAACAGTATTTTCATTATTACTGATGTATAAAATATTTTAATTGGGGAAGAGCTAAAAATTGCCTCACTGGGGTATCTGAGTGACTCAGTCGACTGAGTTTTCAAATCGTGGTTTTGGCTCAGGTCATGATCTCAGGATCATGAGATCGTACCCTGAGTTGGGCTCCACGCTCAGCTGGGAGTCTGCTTGAGATTCTCTCTTCCTCTCCCCCAACCCCTCTCTTCACACCATCCCGGCTCTCTCTCTAAAATAAATAAATAAAATCTCTTAAAAATAAAAATTTACTCATTAACCTTTTCCCATAGTATTTTGGTAATTATGCATATTTATCCTTATAGATGAAAAATAGAGTGAACACGGATCTTCTCAGTCTGAATTCACACATCAGATATCAAATATGGCAATTAAAATGATTTCCGAATACTCTAGGTAGAATGCATTCAGTAGTTTCCAAATACTTATATGGCTATTTTATAACTGGAAAGTTCTCAATTACTCAAAGAAATCTAACTTACATGTTGGAAGAGACGCTTTACGTGAAGGTACATATTTTCTAGTGTTCCATCTGAAGTTTTTCAGATCAACCGAAGTTTGAACAATCATTACCTTTGTAAAATCTTCAGTGCCTTGTACCTGAAGTTCAATAGAATATAAGTTAATTCCTGAGTACTTACCATACAATTACGTGTTTCTCTGGTAAGCTAGTATCTCAGGACCTCTCTAAATATCTGGGATGAAAGGTAAACATGTCTATATCAGATATGTTGTTTTCCATATGCTTTGAATCACATGAGTACCCAGATCTACAATAGACAGGGCTGTCTGCCCGAGAAAGTAGACAGAGTTGCGTAGGTTTTAGGCTGCCTTGAGAACCTCTTGCTTGGCCATCTAAATTCCCAATCAGCACCCACAGCAGAGCTCTGTTATTATGTATTCAAGAATAGAAGTACGCAGCACCATAGTTAAGAATAATGTCTCACTTCCTCCCAGTGGGTGTATCACATTGGTGCTGGAGGCATCCACTCAGAAATTTTTTCTTGTGACCCTTTCCCACCTGAGGATTCCTCTTACCCCCACCTCACGTTCTTCTTGTGTCCCAAATCTACCTTGTAAATACTTCTATCATAGCTGTACACGTTTCATTAATATGTTTACATATTTTTCTTTTCACTTGGTTGAGAGATCGTATGAGGGCAAGTTGCAAATCTCACTTGTCTTGGTCACTCTAGCATCTAGCACTGTTGCTGCCATATATTAATTACTTAAAAAATATATGTCTAATTCGATCAACTCTAGGTCCCTCTTTCAATGTACTTTCTGTAGCTGTATTTTGTATGTCACCTGATTTCTCCTGCCATGTGCCTCTCTTTTTCTACCCCAACACACACACGTACACACACAGGGTTTGCCTTCTTTCCTTCTTCATACGCAGAGCTTCTCATTTTGAGGGCCAGGAAAACTCAGTAGCCTAAATGTGGGAAGTATCTTTCAAAGTATCTGAGCAAATACCTCTGTTGCTCAGTTCAGCATGGGTTTGGCAGAAATTCTCCAGAGTACTGTTAAGACAGTCCAGAGAAAATGGTCCTTCTGCAATGTTGTATATGAACTTACTAGGCCCCCTTTTTCTATTTACAGCTGCGCCAAAATCTAACTATGGCCAAAATGTACAGCTCGGCCTGCCTCATCGACATTGAATAGGAATATGTTGGTGCTTGGGCTACCCAGTGTCAAGGCAATCCGTGAACTGGGTGTGTGTGGTGTTTGTGCTTATGGAGTGGTAGGGGAAAGGCGGGAGATAGGAAGGTGGAAAGTGACAATTTTTCTAATGTTCATACACTGTCAGACATATGGCGGATTGACTGGAAGGTATGAATCAACATTTCTTTACCTGATAGCATGTTATAGGAATTAAAGAAGGTGCCTTATAAGCTTTCCGTAACTGACAATCTTCTACAGCTCCATGGATGAGGATGACATAAATCACAGTTTCATCATAGATACCAGTTTTGATGTTCTTTGGTATATCTTTTACCGACACATTACAGAGTTTTAATTGCATCTTGTAGTTCCAATCCTACAAGGAAAGCACAATTTCGTAGTCTACTGTTGATAAAATTTAATATAAATTCCTAAATAGTTCATTAATAACCATATTTTAATACAATTCCATTCAGAGCGAAGAATGAGCTTATATAAACCCCTCTTACCTCATAAGATAGATGTTCCCTGATTTTTTTGGCAGTAATGGAAAGTCCAAGTTTTAGCCACATTTTATATTCAATGTGAGGACTACATTGTTCAAAAGCTTCATACAAGTAATTTTTAGGAATAAAACATGTCTGAAAAAAGGAAAATCTAAATTTAATATCTCATTCTGCATACCCATAGTCTAAGGAGATAAGGTTTTTCTCATTTACATTAAAGCTAAGAATTTAAATTATTTAAGATTCATGTTGCTGCCTGGAGACTTACTAAAATGTGTATAGTAATAAATATTTGTGTAATCTTATCATAAATTATTAAAAGGCCACATGCTCCAATGAGATGTTATTATTCTTACAGATTCTAAAAAAGTAGAAAACAAGGTATCGAAAATCATTTAAACTTTTAAACTAAAGATATAAATATTTCTAAAAATACATTATTTTGGGGTGCCTGGATGGCTCAGGTGTTTAAGTGTCTGCCTTCAGCTCAGGTCATGATTCCAGGGTCCTGGGATTGAGCCCAGCTTTGAGCTCCCTGCCAAGCTTCTCCCTCTCCCACCCCCTGTTGTATGCATTCTCCACGTGTTACTCAAATAAATAGAATCTTTAATAAAAATAAAAACACATAATTTTAGGGGAGCAAACTTTTTAGATAACAATAAAATGCCAGTGCTAATGAGCAGACTATTGACTATCAGGAATAAGCTGCTGCGAATATACAAGATGTTATGTATGTTGGTTTTTAATTCTTATGGGTAAGGATGTATGAGTGTGATTGCTGGGTAATAAGTAAGTGTGTGTTTAATTTTATAAGAAAACTGTCAATCTGATTTTGGAAGGGGTTGTAACATTTTAGACTCTCATCAGCCATGATGGACATTTCAGTTGCTTCACATCCTTGCCATTACCTGCTGCTCATTATTTTTATGTTTAGCCAACGCAGTAGGTGTGGTGATACCTCATCATGATTTTAATTTGCATTTCTCTGAGAGCTAATGATATCAAGAATCTTCTTTATGTGCTTATCACCCACTTGTATATTCTTTTGTGAAAGGTTTGTTCAAATCTTTTGCCCAGTTTTTAATTCAGTGATTTGTCTTCTATTCTTTATAGGTTCCATTGTCAAGTAATTCTTCAGATCAAGCTATTGTGAAAAGCTCCCCACAGTCTGTGGGTTGCTTTTTTCCATATTCTTCATGGTGTCTTTTTTAAAAAGCAGATTTTAATTTCAGTGGCATTCAATTTATCAATATTTTGTTTCATGGTTAGTGCTTTTTATGTCCTGGCTTAGAAATCTTTGCCTATCTCAAGATCTGTGTTTCCTTTTCAAATTTTTATAGCTCTGATTTTTATGTTTAGGTCTATCATCATTCCAACTAGATTTTTGTGCGAAATGTAGGAAGCTGAGGCTCATAGCTTCCTTATAGGTATTTGGAATTTTCGGGATCAATTGTTGAAAATATCATTATTGTTAAAGATCAACTGATTGTGTATATATGAATCTATTTCTGGATTCTCTTCCCTGTTCCACTGATCTATATTATGTTCAGCTAATAACATTTGGTGCTGATTATAATAAATGATAATTATTTATTTTTTAAAATTATATATTATATATTTTATGTATATAAATTATATATATTATATATAATTTATTCTTTTAAGAATTTTAATTCCAGTGTAGTTAACACACAGTGTTATATTGATTTTAGGTGTACAGTATAGTGATTCAGCAATTCTATATATTATTCAGTACTCATCAAGATAAGTGTACTCTTAAAAAAAAAAGATGTGTACTCTTAATTCTCTTCACCTATTTCACCCATCACCCCACCCCCTTCCCCTCTGGTAACCATCTGTTTATTCTCTATAGTTTAGAGTCTGTGTTCAGTTTGTCTCTTTTTTTCCTTTGTTCATTTGTTTGTTTCTTAAATTCCAGATATGAGTGGAATGATATGGTATTTGTCTTTCTTGGACTTATTTTCACCTAGCAATATATTCTCTAGAGCCATCTATGTTGTTGCAAGTGGCAAGATTTCATTCTTTTTTATGGCCGAATAATATTCCATTGTATATAGGTATATATACCACATCTTCTTTCTCCATTTATTGATGAACACTTGGGTTGCTTCCCATAATTTGACTATTGTAAGTAATACTGCCATAAACATATGGTGCATATATCCCTTTAAGTTACCATTTTCAAATTCTTTAGGTAAATACCCACTAGCATGATTACTGGGTCTTAGGGTAGTTCTATTCTTAATTTTTTGAGGAATCTCTATACTGTCTTCCACAGTGGCTGCACTGGTTTATAGTCTCATCAATAGTGCACGAGAGTTCCTGTTTTTCCACATCCTTGCCAACACTTGTTTCTTGAGTTTTTTTTATTTTAACCTTTCTGATGGGTGTGAGGTGATGTCTAATTGTAGTTTTGATTTGCATTTCCCTGATGATAAGTGATGATGAGCATTATTTCATGTGTCTGCTGGTCGTCTGTATGTATGTCTTCTTTGGAGGAATGTCTGTTTATGTCTTCTGACCATTTTAAAAATTGGATTATTTTGTTATTATTATTTTTGGTGTTGAGTTGTGTAAATTCTTTATGTATTTTGGATACTAATCCTTTATCAAATCCATCATTTGCAACTATCTTCTCCCATTCAGTAGGTTATCTTTTAGTTTTGTTGGTTGTTTCCTTTGCTGTGCAGAAGCTTTTTATTTTGATGTAGTCCCAAAGGTTATTGTTGTTTTTTGTTTCCCTTGCCTCAGGAAACATAATTAGAAAGATGTTGTAATGGCTGAATGTCAGAGAAATTACCACTTGTTTTTTGTTCCAGGATTTTCATTTTTTATTCCTTTATTTTTTAGGTAAGCTCTACATTCAACATGGGGCTTGCACTCATGATCCCAAGATCAAGAGTCACATGCTCTACTGACAAAGCCATCCAGGCATCCTTATTCTAGGTTTTTTATAGTTTCAAGTCTCTCATTTAGATCCTTAATCCATTTTGAGTTTTTTTTGTGTGTATAGTGTAAAAAAGTAGTCCATTTTTCACTTTTTGCACATAGTTGCCCTATTTTCCCAACACCATTTGTTGAAAAGACTGCTTTTATCCCATTGCATACTCTTGCCTCCTTTGTCAAAGATTAATTCGCCATATAATTGTGGGTTTATTTCTGGATTTTCCATTATGTTCCATTGATCTATGTTTCTATTTTTGTGTCGTACTGTTTTAATTATTACAGCTTTGTAATATAATGTGAAATTGAGAATTGTGATACTTACAGCTTTGTTTTTTCTTTTTCAACATTGCTTTGGCTATCCTGGGTCTTTTGTGGTTCTATACATATTTTAGGATTGTTTGTTCTGGTTCTGTGAAAAATGCTGTTGGAATTTACATAGGGATAACATGACATCTGTAGATTATTCTGGGTAGTATGGATACTTAACAATTTTTGTTCTTCCATCCCATGAGCATGAAGTATCTTCATTTCTTTCATCAATGTTTTATAGTTTTCAGAGTACAGATCTTTCACTTCCTTGCTTCAGTTTATTCCTAGGTATTTTATTATTTTTGGTGCAATTGGAAATTAAATTGCTTTCTTAATTTCTTTCTGCTGCTTCATTATTAATATATAGAAATGCAATTGTTTTCTGTACATTGATTTTTGTATTTGCTGCAACCTTACTGAATTAATTTATCAGTTCTAGTAGTTTTTTGGTGGTCTTTAGGGTTTCCTATATACACTATCATGTCAGAGAGTGAAAGTTTTACTTCTTACTTACCAATTTGGATGAGTTTTATTTCTTTTTCTTGTCTGATCACTCTGAGTGGGATTTGTAATACTATGTTGAATAAAAGTGGTGAAAGTGAGCATCCTTTTCTTGTTCTTGACCTTAGTGGAAAAGCTTTCAGCCTTTCACCATTGAGTATGATGTTAGCTGTAGGTTTTTCACATACGGCCTTTATTTTGTTGGGGCATATACCCTCTAAATCTAATTTGTTGAAGTTTTTACATGAGTGGATGTTGTATTTTATCAAATGCTTTTTCTGCATCTGTTGAAATGATCATATGGTTCTAATCCTTTGTGATGTGTCACACTAATTGATTTGCAAATATTGAACCACCCTTGCATCCCAGGAATAAATCCCAATTGATCATAGTGAGTGAATTTTGTTTAATGTATTGTTGGATTCAGTTTGCTAATATTTTGTTGAGGATTTTTGCATCTATGGATAGGTATCTGTTCATCAGAGATACTGGCCTATAGCTCTCTTTTTTGTAGTGTCTTTATCTGGTTTTGGTATCAGGATAATGCTGGCCTCTTGAATGAATTTGGATGCTCTCCTTCCTCTCTTGAGTTTTTGGAATAGCTTGAGAAGAACAGGTATTTATTTTTATTTTTTTTATTGGAGTTCAATTTGCCAACATACAGCATAACACCCAGCGCTCATCCCGCCAAGTGCCCATTACCCAGTCACCCCAACCCCCTGCCCACCACCTTTTCCACTACCCCTTGTTATTTCCCAGAGTTAAGAGTCTCTCATGTTCTGTCTCCCTTTCTGATATTTCCCACTTTTACACTTCCTATTCTTACCCTCATACGTGACCCTTCACCATCCCCACTCCTGCATCACACTTCAATACTTTACTAGAGAATAATTCCGCTTACCCATCACCCTTCTCTCTGTTATTTTCATATTTTCACTCTGCATGTATTATAACCCCCTTACAATGTTATTTTTATTTTTGCTTTAAATAGTTCTATTTTAAGAAAATTGCAAGAAGAAAAAAACCTAGTTATTTATATTTACTTACCGATTTACCATTTCTGGTGTTTTTCCTTACCTGTAGATCTGAATTTGTCCCCTCTAATGGCACTTACTACATCTTGAAGAATATTGTTTAGTATTTGTTGTAGTGCAGGTCTGAGAAGGAAGAATTGCCTCAGCTTTCATTTATCCAATTTTTATTCTTTTCCACAATTTAAGATGTTGTTCTATTATTGTTCTCTCATCTTCATTGTTTCCAATAAGAAGTCAGTGATTATTCTTTTATGTTCCCCCAAATACATTTTCTTTTTATTCTGACTACTTTCTAGACTTTCTCTTTCTGTTTTTCAGCACACACGTGTGTGTGGTGCATGCATTTGTTTGTCTTGTTTGAGTTTCTTTCTTAAAACTGTAAGTCAAGACTTTTCATCAACTTGGGAACATTTTAGTAATCATTTAGAAAATATTTTTCCTGCCCATTCTTGTTCTCTTCTCCTACTGCAAATTGTATTATATACTATTACATTGTTTAATGTTACACCATAGAGTGTCTGTACATTAAAAAAAAACATTGTTCTCTTTGTTTTTCAAACTATTATTTCTATCATTTGTCTTCCAGTTATTGACTTTTTTTTTTTTTTTTTTTTTTAAATTTTATTTTTATTTTATGATAGTCACAGTGAGAGAGAGGCAGAGACATAGGCAGAGGGAGAAGCAGGCTCCATGCACCGGGAGCCCGACGTGGGATTCGATCCCGGGTCTCCAAGATCGCGCCCTGGGCCAAAGGCAGGCGCCAAACCGCTGCGCCACCCAGGGATCCCCAGTTATTGACTTTTTACTACCATCTCTAATCAGCTCTTTTTAGTTCTAAAATTTCCATTTAACTCTTTTTTATATTTTTACAATATACTGGTATTTATTATCTCTTTTCTCATTATGGTTATATTTTCCTTTCATTTTTTGAACATATTTCCCCTGAGTTCTTTGAATATATTCTTTTTTTTTAAGATTTTACTTATTTATTCGTGAGACACACACACACACACACACACACACACACAGAGGCAGAGACACAGGCAGAGGGACAAGCAGGCTCTGCACAGAGAGCCCAACGTGGGACTCGATTCCAGGGCTCCAGGATCACGCCCTGGGCTGAAGGCGGTGCTAAACCGCTGAGCCACCCGACCTGCCCTGAAGGTATTCTTAATGACTCTTTAGTGTCTTTGCCTCATCCATATTTTGGGCCATCTCAATGTTGGTCTCTATTCATTGTCCCCTTTTTTCATACTATAGGTGACATCATGTTTCTTTGCTTGTTTAGTAATTCATGATTGGTGTTCTGTAACCAGAAACAGGAGGCTAAAGCATTTTTATGCAAATCCCAGGCATAATTTTAACTTGGAAATATTATAATATGCATCACTGAATAATAAAGACATAAAGTTTTCCCTTGCCTTCTTCTCCCTTCCCACTTTATATGTCATTAATTTGCTGGGAAAAGAAAAAGAAAAAACATTATTCATTCTGTGGATCTCTCATATTTCAGATTTACCAAGTTATTCCCTTCTGATGTCAATTAACCTGTTTCTCTCCCCTCTGGATTTTCTATTAACTGGTTTGATAAATATGCTTTTACTTTTTTTCTTATTCAAGAGCACTTCATCATGGGTGGTACCAGTACTTCTGCTGCATCATAGCATGAGGTACATGAGGCCCAGTTGTCCAACTTTTAGTGATTCTACAATTGTTTTTAGGTGGTGCCAGCCTGGTCCTTTCATTATAAAGTTTACCATTAACATTGCACATAGTAGTTTTAGCACCAATTGATGGCTATTGGCTAGATCCATTACTTCATTTGAGATAGCAAAATAAAGATATTCAAATACTCTCCTTCTATATTTGTTAGCTGAAATTCTGTATAGAAGAATATTTTTTCATCTTTTCTTAAAAGAGTTTGTAGAGGGAAGGCAGGATAAATGTTGAATTCTTTCTATTTTTTAATCCACTTTTAGCGTAGTAAGTTGATATCCTGACATTATTAGAAATTAAACAACTTTTGGTATCATTAACAACTTACGGATTTTTATACATCATGGGGTTCAATTGTTTCCAGTTATTGTTCTTTTGAGTTCAATTTAAGCTAGTGGAAGCCCCTGTTGCTTTGGGAATTTTGTCCTCATTGTGTCTAGGGAAATTTCCATCCACTCTTCAACTTTTTGATTAAAGATATTAGTTCTCTGACATTTTCCTTCCTCACCTCTCAAATTATGGTATTAATAGTTCAAATATGTCCTCTAATTTCTCCATGAGAGACCTCACTTAATCAGTTTTTCTGGTTAAATCTTTCTTTCAATTTGATAGGTTAACTTTTGCAAGCCATTTTGCCAAGACAGTATAATGGGTAAGTATAATTTGGTAACAAGTTATGTTCCTTTATTATTCCTATTTAAAAAAATTATCACTAGACTGTAAACATATGCTAAGCACAGAAATAACCTTAAATTTGATACCAGACATTTAATAAGATACAGCAGTAGGATATAAGGTGATGTTTTCTGACCTCCACTACAGTCTTGCAGGTAGCAGAACATGTCATGGGTTTATTAGTTAAGCAGTTTAGCTCTCCTATTATTTCCCCACTGATTAAAAAGTCTGTGTAATTCATCTGATAATCTTTCTCCTCTGACTCCATTTGGTCATTTCCAAAACTAGGTTTTGATCTTTGAAGCTGTTCAGGAACAATGAAAGGCAAAAGCATATGTCAGTTAATTACCAAAACTCTGTAATTATTTATTTTTCCTTTGATTTTAACAATGTTAATATGCAGATGTTGTTTTGAGGACACTTATTACTTGTACCTTTTGAAGTGAATTTATTAAATTAGCCAAAGTGTTCTTAGATACTGCAATCTTTCTGATTCCTTCTACCCAACCAACTTATACCTGCTTTAGAATGGCTAAATGCCCAATTCAGATAAACATAACATGAAAACAACTTATAATACCCCATCTTAAAGATGATCCCTTGAATGGTTTCTTGTTCTCTATGGGAAAGTAACACTTAAAAGGTGGTAGGTAATGTTAACCATTGTGTTTGAACAAGAAAATTAGATGGTAGCTGTTGTCCTAAAAGATGAACAATGCAGTTCTTAATATGAAAAACTATGAATTCTCAATTTTATAGAGTTTTTAACTAATGTTCACAAGGCATTTATGAATAATACGGACTTACCTTTACCATACCTGATATTATTATATAAATTCCTTTGGGCTCATCACCTTCTTCAAATATGTCATTTCCACAATCAAATGTTACAATTCTGGCTCTTTTCTTAAAAATATCACCAAATATAGAAGATATAAATGCTATATTAGCAGTGGTTGGGGATGTTGAAGTTTACATCTTATTAAAAGTTTTTACATTTTAAAACATCATTCAAAAAAAAATAAAAAAATAAAATATCATTCAGTAGGTCCTGACTTATTGTGTGAGTGATAAATTTGTAAGAGAAAATAAGAGGAAGAGAGAAAGGTGGATATTCATTCATTTTTGTAACTTCAGATGAGTATTTATATATGGATTAGAAAATAAATAATCTAATATAGGAATAAGAATGTAATGGAAGGATAAAAATATTTCACCTGTATTAAAAATAATCAGAACAGATGCAGGCTAATGGCATATATACGTCTCATACATAGTTATGCTCTAAACAGCTGATGAAGTAAATTGGAAATTCAATCATTCAAAGTATTTTAAGCAGGTGGAAAAATGTAATTGGTCCTTTGGCACCATGTAGACATAGAAAAATAGGGTTAACAGAACAAGTTAGACCTATTGTTTATTCCACAAACACTCTTTGAGCACCCTCTATGTAATATGCAAAGTGTTGGGGGCTGGGCATTCAAAAGATGGATGAGCTAAAGGATATAGTACAGAAGAGGGATGGAAAGGTAATTGTAATGTTATATACCTAAAGCTATAATGAAACTGTATAATGGATACAATGGCGACACCTTTGGTCCTCCAAACTCTGTATGGACCACAGGATGGTCTTCTACTGGCAGAATGTTTGCCCCTAAAGCTGACTTTTCTGAATTACTTTGGTGGGGATATTTCCAGAGAAGCAAGTTGAAAAAAAAGTAAAAACAAAGGGTGTTTTAAGAGATATAAACAGCACCCCAAGAGAAAGGGAATTAGAATACAGTGTAAAGGATTTGGGGCACCTTGCAAGGTTGAGTGTAGAGTATGAGGTATATGATGATATGATGAAAGGGCAACAGAAAATGAAGATGGAAAAGTAGACAGGAGGCAGATTGAAGAAGAACTTTACATGTCATTTAACGGGATTTTGATTTTATCCTGCAGACAGTAAAAGACATTTCGAGTTTTGAGCTGGAGAGTATCATAGTCTTCATTTAAAAAACATAATTTGTTGGTACATTACAAACGGTATTACCAGAGAATAAAAATATTACCTGAATGAAGGTTATATATTCTTTGTCTTTATCTAGCCATGGAATATGGTAGAGTGCTTCTACAACAGTAAGAGGCTTGATAACAGGTTGAAAATCAAGTATCTCTCTCTTTTTGGCCATTATTAACTAAAATCACACAATTTAAGAAAGAAGATGAACAAAACTGGTGTTCACAGAATGTTTATAAAAATATGGTTTTGTACTATTCCCTTTATTTGCTCTTCTGAGATTTTTGTTCTTCTATGGAAACATTCAACCTCTCCCCACTTACATTTTTCTCTTATCATAATTCTGAAGTCATAGATTAAACTTTTAAAAGTAAACTTTTTTTACTGAATTATAGCAGATAAACAAAAAAGCACAGAAATTTTAAATGTCCACTCAAAGAACATTGACAGTGGGAAAACCTCTGGGTAACGATCACCCCGATTAAGAAATAAAACATTTACTGCACCTAAAATCCTCTCATATTCTCTTCTAGTCATTTCTTCTATCTAAAGATAACCTCTCTTCTATCGTCAGAGTTTAGCTTTGCTTGGTTCTGAGGTTTATCTGCATTAAATCAACGAGTATGAACTTGTTTTTGTCTGGTTTCATTTGGTCAACATTATGTTTCTGAGATCTGTCTCTAATACTGCAGGGAGCAAAAGTTCATTCCCATCATTTTCATTGTCAAAGAGGATTATGTTGTAGAATATACCACAGTTCTGTCTACCATTAATCAACATTTGGGGCACTCCAGTTTTGGCCTTTTGTAATACTGCTGTATTTGTTCGCTGTGAGTGTATGGTTCTGAAATCTAATTGCCTTGCCATATGTGTACGTTCAAATTTAGTAGATTTTGCCTAACAATTTTCCAAAGTGATTGCATTAATTTACACTCTCACTCTGATGTACCCATTGTTCCACATCATTGCCTACGATTGGTATTGTCAGGTAAAAAAATAATCAAGCATTCTGATGGTTGTGTATTGGTATTTCATTTGGCTTTAATTTGTGTTAAGCTTATGACAATGAAAATTTGGTAACTTCTGTTATGTATTAGTCATTTGAATATCCTCTGTTATGAGGTGTCTACTCAAATCTTTTGTCCATTAAAAATGGGTTTTCTGTATTGTTCTTTTTGATTTATAAGAAAGTTTTTGGGTTTTTTTTTGTAAGACATTTTTTTGGAGGGTAAGAGATTTTTATGTGTTCTAGACATAAGCCCTTTGTTGGATATATTTATTTTGAAAATATCCCTTACCTTTTTGTGGGTTGCATTTTAATTCTCTTATTCTTTTAATACAGAGAAGTTCTCACTTTTTATGTTATTTAAATCCAATTTTCTGTCCTGTTTAAGAAATCTTTACCTATGCCAATATCATAAAAATTATCTTCTGTTATCTTCTAGAAGCCTATTGTTTTACCTTTTACAGTTATGTACATCCATCTGAAATTGTTTTTTTGTGTGTGGTATAAGAGTTCAGATTCAGGAGTGAAATAAGAATAAGAACAGAAAAACACAAGAACTATTGAAACAAAGGTAAGACTTAAGTGGAGAGATACGCTAAAAGATTGACTCAATATTACAAAGATGTCAATACTCTTTAAATTGACATACAGACTTGTTGGAATCCCAGTGGAAATTCCATTAGGCTATTCAATGGAAATTGACAAGCTGATTCTAGAATTTATTTGAAAATACAAAATGCCAAAACTTGTCAAAATACTCGTAAAGAAAAGAGCAAAAGCTGGAAGATACATGCCATCAGAATGAAGATTTATTAAGTTTCAGTATAAGATGGTGCAATACACACGGAGAAAGGCTCAATGACAGACAAATAAAACAATGGAACAAAAGAGCCCAGAAACTCATTCACACATACACAGTCATTTAATTCATGAAGTACTCCACTGCAGTACAATAGGATAGGATAATCTTTTCTAGATATTATTTTGGGTCAGTTGGTCACCTATATAGGAAAAAAAAATGTTAACTTTAACCTACTATTTTTATGTAAGGCATTCTAAACAGCATTGCTTTTGTTAATTATTTCTATTTTCTACAGAGTCAGCTTTTACCATAATCAGGTAAATCAGTCTCGGTTTTTGAAACTGAAAATTCCTAGTCTGTTTAGCTGGAAATGCGCCCATCTCTTTCTATTTTTGTTTTTTGATAGTGCTGTGTTTAAAAGCATGGGCTCTGGAATCAGAATTTCTGCATTCAAATATTCTCTCCATATTGACTACTTGTCTGGCGTTGGGGCTTAGCCCTTCTGTTTCTCAGTTTTCTCTCTTACAAAGTAGGAACAGTAGTATCCAAATGTCAAGAATTATGAACAATATAAAAATAATAAATAGCTAAGGCTCCCTTTATCTTCCATTCTCCTTGCCACTCTCTCTTCCAGGTGAGGCCTGTGTTAAGAATTTCATATATTTTGTCCAGCTTTTTTTTTCAAAATAGTATATAGATACATATATATCCAGAAGTTAAAAAATATATATACACTGGGGGCACCTGGCTGAGTCAGTCAGAAAAGCATCTAACTACTGATCTTGAGGTCATGAGTGTAGGAGATTACACCCCATGATGGGTGTAGAGATTACTTAAATAAATAAACTTAAGAACAACTAAGTTGATCATATTATATATAGTTTTACAAATTACTTTTTTCCTACTAAAAATGTATTGAGGTGAATTTTTTCACATTAATATATATGGATTTTTCATATTCTTATTAATTTATATATGATGTTTATTTGCATGGATTCATCACAATTTACATAAGCATTCCCCAGTTGATGAACACATAGGTTGTTTCTAACATGTGTTTGAATACATATCTTTGTTTACTTTTGAATAGCTGTGTATTTCAACATGTAGAATTTTTGGTTTAAAGGGTATGGATTTTTAAAGTTTTTATTTGCTAAATTGCCCTCCATAATGGTTGTGCCCACTTCCATTTCATTTGCTCTACTTAATCTACTTTCTTGGAGTGGCACCGTTCATTCTTCTTTTGTTCCTGACTTTAACGGGAATACTTATAAATGTTTTGACATCTAATACAATGTTTGCTTTAAATTTTTAATAGAAATTCTTTCTTCAGTTAAGGATGCTACTTCTACTAGCCTTGTAAGAATTTTTAAAATATTTTGAATAATAAATTTTGTCAAATTTTTTCTTCCTTTTTAATATTTTAATAAATTATATAGCTATTTTGGGGGCTAAGACATTCTTAGTCATAATATATTAAACTTTTAATAAACTACCAAATTCAGTTAGCTGTCATTATGTTTAAAAATTTTGCATATTTATTCACATGCATTATAGCTTTTCTTTTTTTTCTTATACTATTCCCAAATTGGGGAATTAATTTTGTACCTACAGAATTAGTTGAGACTATTTTTTTAATATGTCATGGTATCTTTTAAATAACTTGGAGAAAGGAAATTTAAGTTAATTTTTATCCTATAATTGAATGTTCTTATAAATCATGAGATTCTATGGGAAAAGTTGTTTCAGGACCCAGATAATTCCTAGAAAAATTCTGATACCTGTTGTAGCCTAGGATGAGAAATAGTTTCATCATACGATTGGTTTGGGAGCAAAGCATAGAAAGAGATGGTCCCTCACTATGGCAAGAAAGAGGAAGAGAAATTGAGTATTGGAGCTCAGGAAGGAAATGCTCTACCATAGGTGTTTTATTTTTTAGATCGTTATTTTAGGTTAGATATTCATCTATCACTGAGATGACCTATATTGGAAAATCAAAAGTGAGTTTGAAGATCATGGATGGCTATATATCAAATAAGTATATTTGCTTTAAAAACATGCTGCCTTACCTTATTAATTTCAGAACTTTCAATTTTATGAATAATTCCTTTTGACTTAAAAACCCTGACAATTTCTCTAGCCAAATTGAGCATGACATTAATCTCCTCCTTTGTTTTCATAGTAACAGCGATTTCTGGGTGATCATACTCTAAGTAACCTGAAAAATAATATGTTCAGATAAAATAAGAACATGATTTAAATATTTCATGTAGGCAATAAGCTAATATTTCCACTCTCAATCCATAGAATACAACCCTCAACATAGAGAAATGTATTTTTCACTGATGAGGCCTCTGCAACCAATCATAATTCACTGGTAGTTACAGAGTTCTGCTTGGCATTTTCTTGTCACCTTATACCTAAGCCCATGAGGAAGGACAGACAGCCCTAGCCCTAGGATTAACAATTATACTGATACACCTGCATGGGACACTGAGAAGCTCTTCTAGGCTCTAGGTCTGAAGTTTATGTCCTATTTTCTATTCTGCTTGAATTAGGATTTTGAACTACAAACTGTGTGCTTAAATATAGCTTCTGATTAAGTCCTCTCATTCATTCTGGGTCATTGCCCGCCCAACATCCCAGTGCATTGAGATGACTCATCCATCTATGCTTTTCTGCCTTCTTATCTGAATTCCTGAATGCTCATGAGAGTTGCATTCACTTAATCTCTATGTTTAGGCTTCTTGGTGATAGCTTCTTTTCTGGTTTGACAACTATCGCCGTGCAAAATCTCTCAAGTCTTGTTTGATTTTCAGGCTTGCTGTGCCATTTTGCTGCCCACCACATGGTACCAAACTCCCTTCTTCACCTCACACATGAACGCATACTATAGAAATGTGTCTGTCACACTCCCAGCATTTATCCCGTACTAGGAGCATGACATGACATGACATGACTCAGAGAATAAGCTGTTGTCATGTTTAGGCATAGAAGCTTCCAGCAGTCATATCAGAGATCTATGAAATTCTCCTGATTTCAACTTATAAAGCCTAAATCCTCAGATGCTAGTTCTGTGGTAAGTGAAGAGAAAAAATAACTTTTTCTTTGTATTGCTCAGGAAGGTATGTGTAACTTTGGTTTGGAAGAAAATAGATTTTAAAAGGTGATAATAGCATGTATAAACATGCAATGCTAATTTGTTTCCTTTAAAGGGAAATTAAAAGGTTTCCCTGAGGTGTAAGGCAGGAAGAACAAGTGTGGAGAGGTAATATTACATTAAGCCCATCCAGCCAAAGATATGATCATTTCAATTGTTGAAATTATACACTTTATTATTAGTAATAAACGGGTTTCCTCAAACATCAGTTTAGTTATCAAAATAACTTCCTCTCTGAAGTAATGTTAAAAAGAGATGGTTGTGCTAAATCTTTAGAACAAGGGGTAACCTACCTAGCTCTTTCATAGCATTTCCTGTATTCTTCGTTATCCTCCTTAATAACACCTACAAAAGAAAAGAAGAGTTATCCCTACTGGAAAGTAAGCTGTTATACCTTTACATTTGCAACTGATGGATTTTTTACCTAACTTTAAAGAAAAAATATGATAGGGAGCTTTTCAGGGATTAGAATTGAATTTTGTGCAATAAATTTTATTTTGCTCCAGCAAGATTGGTGGAGAGAATAAAAAGTGGCATTACCAGGTTGACTTTGAGAAGCCTGAAGGCTTATTTTTTTCCTTAACGTAACTTGCTTTAGGATAGTATTGATTCTGAAAAATACAAGCATGGTAGATATTTTACTCTTAAACTTTTTAAAGCCTCCAAATTGGGGACAGAGAGAAAGTTTTTAATCTTAATGAAGTACAAAGTTTGAACAAACTGTATGTGATCAAAAATGGGGTCTAACACTGGACAACATCTTAGAGATTCAGGTCCTTTTGTATTTTTTACTGTGTATTCTCAAACTCCAAAGCTAAGTATCCTTTTCCAGGTTGGACAAAGTAGCAACATTCAGGAAAACAGTTTTAAAATTACAGGTGGTAAAGAAAGGAAAATACTGCTTTTTGTGTTCTACTATGTATCATATTTTCAATTTTCTCAACTACTGAGCTTTGGGCATATTACATGGCATTCAGACGTTCTACGGTTACCTTGGAAGGTAAATATTTCACATAATTGACAAACTTGTGTGAGAACATGGTGTTATTTTGCCTGAGTCAAAAAAGTGAAAAATAAAATCTAGAACTTAGGCCCTACAATCACTTTAGTGTTTACTAGCCATATGACTGAGCATAATCATTCAACCTTTCTCTGTTTTTCTTCTTTTTTTCCTTCTTTATCTGTGTAGTGAAGGAATTCGACAAAGTTTCCTTCTAGATGAGTTATTCTTACTTTTTTCATTCACCAGATCCCCATCCTTTGATTATTTTACTATTTACTGTGGGGAAATCAGGCAGGGAGAGAGGAAGGGAGCCTTTGAGAATTATGAGGAAATTCCATTTTCTTAGCCTGCCATCACGGTCTCATCCTCAGATCCTGAAACTTACATGAGGAAGGAACTAATGGCCACTGCACATGTTTTGGAGAGCCTCCACAAGAAGCAAAAAGTGGGTTGTGAAAGCTTCTTCTTTTTTTTATTTTCTCCTACTATGGCACAGACATTTTGATAAGGAGGTTTTCGAGTCATAGACATGTAGCCTAGTTTAAGTTTTTACAGTAGTTACTTAGCAAATTGAGTCAAAGACCATATCTACACATATAGACAGATACATAATGGGTGGGGGCAACTGAGTTATTGGAGGAAAACAACCCTTTCCCAAGTATTTAAAGTTTTTCTTACTTGTTTAACGTGCTTAGAAGTTGAAATCTGATCAATTATGGTCATTATGTCTGCTTCACCTTGGACATAACCCTTTAGTATAGCATACTGAAAGGATTGCTGGTGACTCATCTTTTGATCTATTATTTGCAGCAACTTTGGAGTTATGAGCTGAAAAAACATTACTATTTAATATAAATCATATATATTTAGTTAATTGCATGTTTATTTTAACTGAAGTAGATAATAATAAGAAATGACATGCTTTCAACAGTAACTATAGTAACCTGTCAAGGTTCTTATTTTATTCTTCAGATTTTATAACTTCATGACTAAAGTTATTTCCTTATAATTAAGAATGTTGGGCACCTGTGTGAAGTTTGACTTTACTCTTTACTTATGTCCCTTAGAGAGAATTGGATGCTGCTTTTAAATGGTTTAAATTCTTGGGAAACTATGCAATTAATTTTCTGGGCTTAAGTCTTAAAATATCTATATAAAGTACTGTCACTTTTACCTATGAAATCTCCTACTAACCTCACTTAAAGGTTTATTCAGGGGTTAGAACCCACCACAATTATACTTTTGTTTGACCCCAGCATTAACTTTTTATTGTTTCTTTGATGAAGATTTAATTTTCCAGATTATCTGTTACCACTGTGCAGTCCCCTAACTTCAGAAGAGTTGACGGTTTCCCATGTTTTCCTATCTCTGTTCCACAATCTCCATACCCTGTCCTCCAACCAGCTGCCTGCCATCAATCCTCAAAGAGCTAGCTTAGGCTCATCCTTCAAGATTCAGTTTAAGTATCACCTAATAAAAGATGTCTTTTTTTAAAAAAAAAATCTCGTTAGCATTCTGTAGATACTGTTTCTCACTTATCCAACAATAAAACATAGGAATATCTAGATGACTTGTCATTTTCCTTCTACAATGGAAACTCTCTAGGGGTAGAGAGTGTATCTAATTCATCTTCATATTCAAGGGCCTACCATTTGACATAAGATTAAGGGTTCAGAGTTTCTTGAATATATATATATATATATATTCAATACATCAATATATTGATAATACATAATATCAATTATCAATATATTCATATATATATATATATATATATATATATATATACACACACAAACTTTTCTTAGGTGTTTTACCAGTTTCTTCACTTAAAATATTTGATAGACCTTGTATATACTCCTATCAGAAACCATTAACTCGTCTTAACTAGTCACTGGAAAACACTTTGCTTGCCTTTTTCTCAGGTCACATTGCCCACTAGTATTACTTACAGTCTCATTTAGTACTAAGACGAGAAAAGCTACTAGTTGCATACTTTTAGACCTAGTTCATTTATTCCATCTTTGTAACAAAACTATTTTTTAAGCATATGTAAGAAAGCTCTAAATGTACAGATTCTAATCTGTTAGTTTTATCTCTAGATGAACTGTGTCTTACTTAGGTTTGTATCCCTTTCAGGGCTTAAGTGTTTATGTATCTTGTTTGTGTATGAATAGACAGAGAGCCAGTGAGAGAGAGAGAGAGAGTATATCTGTTCCTTATATACACATCATATGCCCTGTGATGGAGTTTCATGTCATTGAAATACTCAGAGAAAATAAATACTTGTTATAGAAAGATGTGTTAGACAACCAAAGGTAATTTTTGATGTATAATTTTATATTACTATGAATTTATATAACATGAAATGTGTATTTTTTGATGTAAATGAATTTATACTATTTGATTTGTCACATGAATGGTTTACATGGTTGTTTTGTTGATTTCTAACTTTTATACGAGGTATTTATAAAAATAAACATTACTTTGGGGTTAATTTATTCTTATATTAATGTGGAATTGTTATGTTCTCTCTATTCAAATAAAAATCTATGTTGAATATTTCTATACTTTCATGTGCTAAATAAATTACAAATGTAATTCGGATATTCATAAAATAAAATAACATTAAATTTGTGAAAGGGTTATGAAGTTTAAAATAAAAACATCATCCCAATAGAAAGTAGAAGTCATAAAACGACTAAGCTGATTTTAGTCCATATTTCAAGAAGCAGTCAGTGAAAATTTGAAATTGAAAGATTTAATAGTTCTTTACCTTCAAAATACGTAGTATGCGAAGAAATCGAACAATTTTTATAAAGACTACTGTTAGAATAAAATCAAAAGTATAAGTAATGGAATTTGTCTCAATAAGAATTATATCTATGATGCCAACTAATGTAATCACTAACTCAAATACATTCCAGGCATGTAAAAAATATTCCTTCCTCATTGCAGCCATCTGTTGATTAAAAAAATTACATTATTTGTTTGTTTTTGCTTTTACTGCACCATTTTCCACAATAACTGAAACATCACTAGTTAAATTTTTCTCTGATATACCTTAAGACTACTTGTCTGAAATACTAGTAAGTAATCATATCAATTTAAAATTAAAATGGTTGAAATATTGAAGCATCCATTCCATGGGAGAAAATATTCAAAAATTCGTACTACTTTATATGACAGTTCATTCATTCATTCATTCATTCATTCCTTCTTTAGTTCAGAAAATTTTATTGAAAGCCTACTATAGCTAAGAGAGTGGGAAGTACTAAAGATAATTGTAGATGCTTGTCTGGGAAATTGGGTTTCCAGTGGAATTTTGATGGAATTAGTAGGTTTAGAGAAGATGAATTTGTGTATAGTGTGCTGTTTGAGATGTTTGTATAGTATTTTATTGGAGAGATCCGTTCATCAGTTGTCTGTATGATCTGAGGTTCTTGATAAGATCTGAGCTGGGAACATGAATTTGTAAGTTATTAGACAATAAATGGTAGTTGATGCCAGGGAAGTTCATGAGCTAGCATGGCTTAGGAAGCTCTTTATTCTTTACGTCCATGTCTTGTCTCATGTTCCATATTACCCACGCAAATCTAACATTTCTCCAATATCCATGCTGACCAATCCATCCCTAAGCTCCTCCAGTCATTGGGAATGATGTTCCTTAAGGGTGTCATAGTGTTGCTTCTAAGTTTTCTCTTGTTTTTGTCCATCATGTTATATACCCACATACTCACTCTTCACTTTTTGATCCATATAACACAATAATATCAGTTTGTGGGGGTACATTTCCTCATTCTACAACTACCTCTTTATAATAGATTTAAAAATAAAATCATGAGATGTTTTTCAAGTATAAGGGGGGCACTTGACGGGATGAGCACTGGGTGTTATTCTGTATGTTGGCAAATTGAACACCAATAAAAAATAAATTTATTATTAAAAAAATAAAGGGATATTTACCACTCTATCCTTCTATCTATTATTAAAAAAATAAACTGAACACTACTCTAAGTTTATGAACACTGTCAATACCTTTGAAATTCCCTTTGACACACACCATTTTAAAATTTTGGCAAATACAAAATTGGTTCTTAAAATATGGATATTTTCTACTGAGTTGCCTTAAAAATTTACCTTTAAAGTTTTAAGTTTGTTTACAAAATGAGAGAGAATTTCATACAGTCCTTTAGAAAACTGTGTATAGTATTAAAAAATGAAGCTAGGGATTCTCTCTGTGAGACATGTAACATGTTCACTCCTACACAGATACACATATACACTAACACACACACACAATTTTGGATTACCTTAAGTAGGGCCTCCATGATATAAAGTACAAGAAAAGAGTAGTTCGAATGTCTTAATTCATGCTCATAGATATCACTTAACTTAGGTATCCAAGAAATTATAATAGGAAACATATTCATTAGTGTCACAAGATATCCAACATACTCAAATTCATCAGTAAATACAATTTTATGGCATACACGAAGAAAGTAATATCTAAAAAAAAAGAGTTTTATCTGATAAAATAGTTATACTGAATTATTTTCATTATATGCTCACTTCTGTTCTAATCATCCACAGTACAGAGCCCAGCTTAGTTCTGGGCAGGAATAATCACTATCTCACATTTTCTGGCATCCCACTTCAGATATTGTTTTTAATTTCCTCCTGAGCTGAATATCTTGAGGCTTATTTCCCCCTTACCTTCCTCAACTCATTCATTTTTAGTTTTAATAGAAATTCTATTGGTCATAGATGGGGATATTTCAAATTGAAAATATTTTAGAAAATAATAAAACAAAGGGAATCTCTTCCACCTTCCAGATATGATTACTACTAACAAGATGAGTATTATTCCAATCTTTGTTTATGTAATCATTTTATCTATAAACACAAAAGAAATTATGTCATACATATTTTTCTGTAAACTTTTTTCTTTCTCTCAACAAATGTATCTTGAGCATCTTTCCTTGTCAAGGCATAAAATCTGTAAAAAAAATTAATAATCCTAGGATGTATGGTAATGGAACAGTATGCATCTACATTTTATCAAAAAAAATCAAATAGAATAGAAGACCTAAATATGAAACAGGAAACCATCAAAATCCTAGAGAACACAGGCAGCAACCTCTTTGACCTTGGCCATAGCAGCTTCTTAATAGATGCTTCTCTGGAGGCAGGGGAAACAAAAGCAAAAATGAACTACTGGGACTTCATCCAGATAAAAAGCTGCTGCTGCATAGCAAAGAAAACAGTCAATAAAACTAAAAGGCACCAAGGGAATAGGAGAAGATATTTGCAAATGATGCATCTGATAAAGAGTTAGTAACCAAAATCTATAGAAAACTTATCAAACTCAATGCCTCTAAAATAAATAATTCAGTTAAGAAATGGGCAGAAGACATGAACATTTTTCCAAAGAAAACATCCCTATAGCTAACAGACACATGAGAAGATACTCAACATCAGTGATCATCAGGGAAATACAAATCAAAACCACGATGAGATACCACCTCACACCTGTCAGAATGGCTAAAATGTACAACTCAGGAAACAACAATTGTTGGCAAGGATGAGGAAAAAGTGTTGGTGGAAATGCAAACTGGTGTAGCCACTCTGGAAAACAGTATGGAGTTTCCTCAGGAAGCTGAAAATAGAACTACCCTACAATCCAGCAATTGCATTACTAGGTATTTGCCCAAAAGATACAAAAATACAAGACTCGAAGGGGCACATGCACCCTGATGTTTATAACAACAGCATCAACAATAACCAAACTATGGAAAGACCCTGTTTGTCCAGTAAGGATAAAGAAGATGTGGTATATATAGACACAATGAAATATTACTGAGCCATCAAAAGAAGATCTCGCCATTTGCAATGACATGGATGGAGCTAGAGGGTATTATGCTAAGCGAAGTAAGTCAGTCACAGAAAGACAAATACCATATGATTTCACTCATATGTGATATTTAAGAAACAAAACAGATGAACACAGGGGAAAGGAAAAAAAGAGGGAGGCAAGCCATAAAAGACTCCTTATAGTTAAGAAAAACAGGGTTGATGGAGGGAGAGGGGTGGGGGAAGGGCTAAAAGGGTAATGGGTATTGGGGGGGCACTTGTGATGAGTACTGGGTGTTATATGTGAATGATGAATAACTAAATTCTATACCTGAAACCAATTTGCCATACATGTTAATTAACTAGAATTTAAATAAAAACTTGAAGAAGAAAAAAGTTTAAATTAATGTATATGCTTTGCCAAATAGTTTCCATACCAAGTATGCCAGTGAGTAGAACTGGGCATGAAAGGATTTACTTATGTATTTTCATTTTTTAATTTTTAAATAATATAATAATGCATTATTATTGTTAAAACCCAACTGAAATGATTAAGCAGTTGCTGATTGCAGATTAGATAAGTACTGGGTCATTTCCCTATTCTCAGAGGTAGATGAACTTCAGTTTCACGGCCTGAAACTTTTACAATTTGGGACCTTATTTAAGAAAAAGAAGAAATTAGGAATAAATTTATGATCCTGTTATGACATTTCAGGGCCCTCTGTGGCCTCTGGCAGTGACCTTGTGAGGAAGGAGCCCCAGAGAAAGCCTTGTAAAATTCTGTCCATTTCAGTTAATTTATCTCCAGAACACTTTCTTTCCCTTTTAAAAAAAGTTTCAGCTGTATCGAGGTATAATTAACATGTAAAATCATAGATATTAAAGTGTACATCATGGTGATTTAATATATGCACACATTGTAAAAGGAGTCTCCACACTAATTAATTAATACATCCATCACCTCACATGACTACCTTTTGTAATCACATGATTACCTTTTGTGCGAGGGGGGGTGAGACCTTTTAAGTTCTACTCTCTTAACAAATTATCGATTATAGTCACCATGTCTTACATCAGGTCCTCAGACCTGGTGCATTTTATAGCTACATGTTTGTAACCTTTACCATCCTTTCTTCCCCGCCCCTCCCCCCGCAACCCCCTCAGCTGGTAAGCAAGTAACCACTTTGCTATTTTCTGTTTCTACGAGTTGACTTTTTTTTTTTCTTTTTTAGAGATTCAACATGTTAGTGATATCTTTCAGTATTTGTCTTTCTCTGGCTTATTTCACTTAGCATAATGCCCTCAACATCCATCCACATTGTTGCAAATGGCAGGATTTCCTTCTTTCTCACAGAGAATAATACTCTTTTGTATATGTATTCATCATATTTCTTTATTCATTTTATCTGTTGATGGACAATTAGGGTTTTTTTTCATATATTAGTTACTGTGAATAATGTTGCATTGAACATGGGAGTGCAGATAGCTCCTTGATATCCTGTTTTCATTTCCTTTGGGTGTATACCTAGAAGTGGGATTGCTAAATCACATAGTAGATTTATTTTGATTTTTTTGAACAGTTTCCAATTTGCTTTCCATAGGAGCTGTACCAATTTAAATACCTACCAACAGTGCACAAGGGTTCCCTTTTTTTCCATATCCTTACCAACAGGTATTATCTCTTGTCTTTTTGTCGATAGGCATTCTAATAGGTGTCAGGTGATATTTCATTGTGTTTCGATTTGCATTTCCTTGATATTAGTGACTTTAAGCACCTTTTTCAGGCATTTTTTTTTTTTTTGGCCATTTGTATGTTTTCTTTGAGAAAGTGTCTATTTGCTTTCTCTGACCATTATTTGTTTTTGTTTTGTTTTTTACTATTGAGTTCTATGAGTTCTTTACACATATAGGATATTAATCCTTACCTTACCAGATATATGATTTGCAAATATTTTCTCCTGCTCCATAGCTTGCCTTTTCATTTTTTTTAATTTTGTTTTCTGTGAAGAAGCTTTTCAGTTTGATGTAGTTCCGACTTTTTTTTATTTTTACTTTTGTTGCCTTTGCTTTTGATGTCAAATCCAAAAAGTCATTGCCAAGAATGCAATCGTGAAGTTTATCCCCCATGTTTTCTTCTGGGAGTCTTATGATTTCAGGTCTTATTTACTGATTTTTGTGTTTGGAGTAAGATAGTGGTCTAGTTTCATTATTTTGCACGTGGCTGTCAAGTTTTCCCAACATCATTTACTGAAGAGACTATCCTTTCTCCATTGTATATCATTAACTCCTTTGTCATAAATTAATTGACTATATGCTCCTGGTTTTATTCCTGGACTCTCTCTGTCCCATTGATCTATATGTCTGTTGTTTTCTTTTTTTTTATACGTCTGTTTTTATGCCAATACCACATACTATTTGTTTACTACAACTTTTTAATATAATTTGAAGTCAGGAAGTATGATACCTCCAGTTTTATTCTTTGTTCTCAAGATTGTTTTGGCTATTTAGGGTCTTTTGTGATTCCACACAAATATTTTTAAAAATTTTTGTAAACAACGCTATTGGAATTTTGGTAAGGATTGCATTGAAACCATACATTGCTTTGGGTAGTATGGCCATCTTAACAATATTACTTCTTCCAATTCATGAGCACAAAATATCTTTCCATTTATTTGTATCTTCTTCGATTTCTTTCATCAATGTCTTATAGTAATCAGTACATTGATCTTTTCGCTTGTTTGTTAAACTTATTCCTAGGTATTTTATTCATTGATGCAATTATGAATGGGATTATTTTCTTAATTTCTCTCTTTTGTTATTAGTGTATAGAAATACTACCGATATTTGTATATTGATTTTGTTTCCAGTAACTTTACTGAATTTGTTTATTAGTTCTAATATTTTTTGGTGGCGTTCTTAGGTGTTTCTGTATATATCATGACATCTGTAAAAGATGTCAGTTTTACTCATTTCTGTCTGATTTGGATGACTTTTCTTTTCTTGCCTAATTACTCTAGCTATGACTTCCACTACTATGTTTAATAAAAATTATGAGAGTGGGTCTCCTTATCTTGTTTCTGATCTTAGAGGAAAAGCTTTCAGCTTTTCACTGTTGGATATGATGTTAGCTGTGTGGCTGTCATCTATGGTCTTTGTTGAGATACACTCTTTCTTTACCCAGTTTCTTGAGAGTCATAATTTATATTTCCTTCCTTTTATCTTGTGTATCCATTATTGTATCTATAGTTGTTTGTTAATACTTTTGACTTCTAATCTTTTTTTCAAATGCTCTTTTATTTTTTTAGATTTTATTTATTCATGAGAGACAGAGAGAGAGAGAGAGAGGCAGAGACACAGGCAGAGGGAGAAGCAGGCTCCATGCAGGGAGCCTGACGTGGGACTCGATCCTGGGTCTCCAGGATCACGCGCTGGGCTGAAGGTGGCACTAAACCTCTGAGCTACCTGGGCTTGCCCCTGACTTCTAATCTTTATGCTAGATTTTTATGTGATTTACCCACTGTTGTTACAATATTAGAATAATCTGAATTTTATTACATATTTATCTTTAACAGTGAGATTTATTCTTTCATATGTTTTTCTGTTACTAATAAGAAGTGTGTCTCTGAATGGCAATCACAAAAATCAGGGTGCCAAACTCTTGCAGAAGTTCACTTCAGGGAGGCACTGTCTTTCCAAGTCAATAAGAACTGCTTTATTGTCTTCTCTAGTCTTCTGGATCTTGTGGACATAAGCCCAATTGGCTCTTAGAGCTAGCTGTTTGGGGGACCCATCTCTCAAGTGGATGCCTTAGGTCTTAGAAGTTGGATCCAAGCCCTTTCCTTCTCATGGAGAGAAGCCATGAATTGCCCTCTGATCACAAGCTTTGATGTCAGAGGGTGAGTTTTTTGAGTCTTTCCTACCTGTTTCAATGTAGGTATTTTCTCATTAGCCCGATGTGTAGGAGTCACTCAGCTAGTTTCTGGATTTCTTTCAGAGGGAAGTAATCTATATGTGGCTGTAGATTTGGTGTGTTCATGAAAGGAGTTGAGTTCAGGAGCCTCCTATGTCACTATCTTGGACTAGAATACAGCCTGCTTTTCTTGACTTCTTCCAGCAATAAAATCATATCTGGCAGAGCGTTGCACTTGATGTTACCTTTTGCTTAAATTTATAATTGACTATACTTTGACTTGTTTATGCCAGATAGATGAATTGAAAGGGATATAATGGAGATTACTCACAATTACTTTAAGTCTTTAATGTTGGTGTAATTTCTTTACTCCTTCTGAAACACTATTTTGGACAGGGTTCCACTTGGTCACTTGGACCTTCTTGCCATAATAATTCTTATTCTATGAGTCACAAGAAAATGTGAGTCCTCAGTCACACACTAACTATATTCATCCCAACTATACGTGTGAAGATTCATGGAAATAACCACACAGTGGATTTGCTGGATTATTATGAAACATACTGGGTCAGAGACTCCATATATCATCTAGCCTAGAAGCTTCCTCTCTAACTTGAGAGTTATGATAGAACTTCAAGCCTTTGGTATCAGTATCATTTTAAATGCCATATCTTAAAGCCTTTGGTTGTTTGTTTATTAATATTTTCCCCAAAGTCTTTTTAAAAGTCTGAGTATTCTTTTTTCCCAATGAAAAGTAACTCTAGTAAAGTACCTAAAGCTCCATCTGAGAAAAGATTGAGGGAATATTTGTCTTATGTACTTGTGTTTTTATTGTAGACTTTTCTCAAGGGTTATGGTTCTGAGAACTGATTTAAATAAAAAGAAGAGTGTGGAGTCATGATCTTCCTTTACAGTAATTGATCTCATCCCTTTGCTCACCAGTTCTCTATTTTTAGAAAAGTCACAAGTAAAATGTAGTTAACTGTTTGTCTACATTGACCTTTGACACAAATTATTTGTTAGCCATTCCTCGGTCAAGGCACTCTGACTGCTACTCTAGGTTTACTGTCCACAAAATATTGTATACCCACCTTGCTTTTGACATTTAAGGTGCTGCTATCTGTCTTCTGCCATTCCCAAGTCCTTTTGATACTAGTAACACTAATTCCATGGCAGCCTCAACTACTGTCAACCATATCCTGCAGAGGACAACTATCAAAGAGTTTCTCACTGTTGCTTTATGAAAGTAATTGTCTTCTGGTCATTCCCAGGAAGGAAAGTTATGTGGTGGGTCCTTCATTCTCATATAATAGTTAAATATTCCAGTTTTTATCATCTGCACTTAATTCACTGTCAGTTATTGACCTGGTCAAGCATCAAAGAACCATACCAAGGGTATAATAGTACCAGCCTCAAGTGTCCTTGACAGAATGTTGAACCTTGAATCATGGGTAAGACCACCATACCAATATATCCTCCCCAATCTGGCATTATGCTGTAACCCTGTAGTCCAATACCCTCAAGAACCATTCGTTTATATTTCTACCAGTATTTGCTAGTATTAGTCAGGTCCTATAATTCCTTCAGTAGATAAGTTGTAGTCTTCCAAAGAAGGCACCGTATTTCCCCCCTCTAACTGTATTGAGATCTAACATGGGTAGTTACCTCGGAAGCAATAAAAGGTGGTAGAGAATAACCATGAAACAAAGACAAGCTATATCTTGTGATGTCTTTGTAGCATCTGATGGTGATAGGTTATTATTCTCTAGCAAGAAAGAGGTGGCTGCCCTCTGCCAGGCTACAGTGTTCATGAGAAATGTGAGGGTTCAAGATCCTCCATTTATCCACCCAAGTGTTACCACTTTAGATCTCAGGATTGTGATCGTTTTCTCTCAGAGCCCTGACACTGATATGGAAACCCTGTCAGTGCTAGGCATTTATTCTTTTTTTGTGCAGCTCTAGATGCATTCCCTCAAAATAGATGGAATATGTTGACTTTTTTATTCAATTCTGCATAATTTAAGTTGAATTTTTAATTTTAAGAATTATGTGTGTTTTTCTATTAAGTTTCGTTTGGTGATTCTATCACTTCTTAATTTCAATATTTCAACAATACTTTTATTTTTGGAATTCAGCACTTAGTAATAAATGCTTACATTTGTTAAGTGCTTACCCAGCGCTCATCCCTGGACTAGGTGCTTCTACACAAACTCTTTATGTATTCTTTCCCATAGTCCCATGAAGAAACAGAGGAGAACCCAACTATCATATTTTGGTGCCCACTAGGTGTCACTTTGTCACAGGCCTTATATATATCAGATGTTGAGAACTGAAAATCTCATTCAGATAATAAATGGCAGAGACTGAGATTCTAAACCAAGCAAGAATCTCCACTACTCACTTTGAGATGAATAATATTTAGAGATAGCCTACAGGGTACGCTATCAATTATAGTTTTTAAAATCTCCCTTTCATTAAGTTGTATCAACAAAAATAATTAGAATGTTGTAGCTTTGGTCAGTATTGAAGGCTCTAAAAAAGTACTATGAAAATATCTTTCTGGTATTTATTGAGTTTGGTAGATTAAGGATAGCCACATAATCTTTCATGCTTTTATTAAGAAGAGGGGTTTATATTTCCTCCTCTTGAATCTAAGAAATAAGTTGGAGAGGAGAATGTAAAATTATCTCTATTCAGAGATGACATGATCTTATATACAGAAAAAACTAGCAAATTCACAAAAAACAGGAGAGCTAATCAATGAATTCAGCAAAGCTGCAGAATACAAAGTCAATATACAAAAATTATACACTAGGAATGAACAGTCCAAAAATGAAATTAAGAAAACAGTTTCATTTATAATAGCATCAAAAAGCAAAAGTATGTAAGATTCACTTTAATCAAAGACTTGTATGCTGAAAACTACAAGACATTCCTGAATGGGTGATGGGCACTGAGGGGGGCACTTGATAGGATGAGCACTGTGTGTTATTCGTATGTTGGCAAATTGAACACCAATAAAAAATAAATTTATTATTTAAAAAAAAGCAAAAGTACGTAAGATTCACTTTAATCAAAGACTTTTATGCTGAAAACTACAAGACATTCCTGAAAGAAATTAAAGCCAGATCTAAATAAGTGAAAGTCATCTCGTGTTCATGAATTGGAAAGCTTAATATTGTTAAGATGGCAATACTGCAGATTCAGTGCAATCTTATGAAAGTCTCAATGACTTTTTTTTTTTAAACTAAGCAAATCCTAAAATTTGTACGGGATTACATTTTTTAAATTCAAATTCAATTTGCCAACCTAGAATACCTCATTAATTTCAGATGTAGTTTTCAATAATTAATCAGATCTTGATAAAGAAAGCAAAGTTGATAAACTTATATTTCCTGATTTCAGAATTGTCTAGCAGCTGTGGAAAACCATTTGGTGGTTCCTTAATAAGTTAAACATAAAATTATCGTGTATGATCCAACAATTTCACTCTTAGGTGCATACTCAAAAGGTATTCAAATACTTGTACATGGATGCTCATAGCAGCACTGTGAAATAGCCAAAAGGTGAAAACAATGCGAACAACCATCAACTGATGAATTGGTAAACAAAATATGATATATCTGTACTATGAACTATTATTCAGCCATAAGAAGGAATGAAGTATACATACATACTACAAAGTGAGTGAAAATTATGTTACTTATACATCTACCATGTGGATAATATATTATGCTAAGTGAAAGAAGCCAGAAACAAAACGCTGTGTATAGTATGATTCTAGTTATATGAAATATTCAGATTGGGTAAATTCGTAGAGACAAAGTAGACTAGTGCGCTGCAGGGGTTGGGGGTAATAGGGAGTGACTTGGGTGCTGGATTTATATTGGGGATAATAAAAATGTTGTGGATTTTGATAGAGATGATGGTTGCCCAACATTGTGAATGTACTAGATAACACAGAATGACACACTTAAAAATGGTTAATCTTGTTATGTGAAATTTACTTCAATAATAAAAAAAGTTATTGTACTATCTCTTTTTTTTCAAGTAAATTTTTGTGTGTACATAAGTAATTTAATTGTAAACTACCCCAAAATATTTTCTAAAACATTCAGGATATGAATTTATTTTTAAATTTTTTCATGGGACTTCAACTTATAACCCTGAGATCAAGAGTCTTATGCTCTACCAACTGAGCCAGCCAAGAACTCCCAGGATATAAAATTTAAAAATAAAAAGGGAATTTAAAATCAGTATAATAAAAAAATTTTAAAAAGTAAAATCAGGGGATCCCTGGGTGGCGCAGCGGTTTGGCGCCTGCCTTTGGCCCAGGGCGCGATCCTGGAGACCCGGCATCGAATCCCACGTCAGGCTCCCAGTGCATGGAGCCTGCTTCTCCCTCTGCCTGTGTCTCTGCCTCCCTCTCTCTCTCTCCCTCTCTGTATGACTATCGTAAATAAATAAAAAAAAAAATAAAAAAAAAGTAAAATCAATATAATAGCGTCTCTAGTAAGGTTCAAAATCACTTACCTTGATGGAATCCCTTTTTCTTTTTTAGTGTTATACACCCAATTGAGCAATACTTTTCTAATAAAGGCAAGCAGTTTTTTGGTTTCAGAATAGTGCTTTATTGTCTCAGGACTCATATATCTGGAAAAAAAGAAGCAATCACTAAACATGCTTTAAAATTTGAGGGATAGATTTAATACAGTATTGTCAGAAAGCAGGAAGATGGTTTTGTTCATTCTTAACTGGGAATAGGATAATTTCATGAGCATAGGTTCAAGTCACAAAGTTGTAGATACAAGTAGATACGTAATTATCAATTTAGATTCTGGGGCTCACTCATTAAAGAGATAGTATAAAAAATTGGAGATACATGATTTAAAATAGAGAGGTCAAGGTTCAGGGAGGAAAAGAATAACATGATTCAACTATTTGGAATTCAAATACATCCAGGTTTTCATGTTGGACTCCCCATTATCTGGTGAGGCAATGAACAAATTACCTCATTAAAATGTTTGCTCTACAAAATAGACCTGACAGTATCCATGCCCGTTGGGGATAACTAAATAAGAAAGTAAATATGAAGCATACAGGCCATCTCACATATCCTCTTATCTCTTTGATTTTACCTTTTGGGCAGGTAGTTGAGGAATTTATGGGGGGAAATACAAGTGGTAAGTAAAGAATTAGTGGTTACTTGGAGAAGTCAGTGGTCCTAAAACCCCAAAAGAGTTTGATAGCACACATCCTATTGTCTCTAGCTTTCTGCTGGCTTTTCTATCAAGGTAGCTCATATTTATGTGCTATAATTTGGTCTTGCTTAGCTAAATCCCTTGGTTTTCGTTATCTTCATCAGCAGGGGGATAGGGTGTTATCCTTGGGTCTGAGGCCCTACTTTTACAGTATGGCTTAATGGAAGGGCAAAGGTAGACCTTGTCCTTCCTATTGACTATACTGTTTTTACTCTGAAATTTGAGCAATTTCTCTGCTATGAACAAATGTAATTGAAAAGAAGTCATTCAATTCTGATTCAATAGAATGATATAGTAATTACATAGGACTTGATTTGTTTCGAATGTTAAAAATATCTATTGAACATATTATGCTTGCTAAAAGCTGGGGAGAAACCATAAACAAATACAGATCTGCTCCCAAGAGTCCAGCACACTAGCGTAGTAAAACATGAAAATAACAATTGCAGTAAACTGTAGTGAAGGAGATATGGAGATAATAAATAACAGAGCACTCTGGATCCATTAAGTGAGGGGCATTTAATGTAGTGTTGGGGAATCAGGAAACCTTCCTGAAGGAATTAATGTCCCAACTAAGATCTGGTCATTTCAGTAGTTGATATGAATCCTAAGGTTCCGTGATATCAGTAATCTAGGTTCCTGAATTTCTATTTTTTATCATCACATTCACTTTTAGACCTGACTTAGGAAGACAGTTGTGATCTCTTTAACTGGATAGTGAGGCTGCTTAAACTTTGAATGCGAGCTCTGTAATGTATTTGTCAAGTGACTTTGGGTCAACTGTTTTCATCTCTTTGCGCTTCACGTTTCTCAACAGCAAGATGAAGATAATACACTTAACTCACAAGACTTTTATAACGTTAGATTGGTAATACAACATGTTTAGGACTGTGCTTGGCACAGCACTTAATAAATATATGCTTTCTATTCAAAGAATCCTTTCTCAGGCAATTACACAGGCAGTTAGCAGAGGTCCAATGCCCCAACTCTTTCTTTCCTTAGACTTGTTTTCTTGCCACAGGACACGCCAGTGCATATGGCTACTGATAGGAATGGCCAGCAAATGGCAAAGTCAACTCCAAAGCAGCCCAGCAAAGAGGCAAGTACTGAATATAACTGTCATTGACAGGAAGTTCTCTGGGGATTGGAACACCATTCCACTTATCCTATTAGGATAAGTGATACTTATCCCACAGTGCCCGTCATATACTTTTGCACATATTAGTGTCATATTTATCTCTTTCATGTAGGACTAAAAAATAATGTATTCTAAAATTTGCCTTTGTTGTCTACTAGGAATCCTTTCAACACTTGAACTCCCTTTTCCCCACTGTTGACCTCCTTGCTCTAGGTCTTCATAGACATAGATTGCTTCTGCCTTCTTGGAAGATTTAAAGAGGAAAAATAAAAGCAATGGGCTGAATTGCTCTACACTGCTTTTTTAAAATATTAGCTTCTCCTGAACAACACAGTGATAATGTTTTTCAGCATGTTATTTACTTATCCATTTAAAAACTTCCACTGTACACTGTGCATCTGTCTTCTTTAAAGTGTGCATCATGTTTTTAAGTGATCACATTTGCCCAGCCCTTTTCCCGGTCTTTTTCCCATAAGCATTTGAATGGCCTAGAGCAAAGAGGCATGTAGAGGCTCTTGTCTTTACCCTCATTAATCAAGAAAACAAAATTTAAGTAAGGTGTAGTTTATCTTCCTACCTTGACAGGTATGTCATAATGATTTGTATGGCTAGGCTTGAAATGGAATCTCTTACACTCTTTGAAATTTATACTTGAACTGCAGTGAGACTGTGCTCCAACGTCTGACTGCTTTTCTTCCCCCATCAAGCTTTATCCCTCCTCTGTGCCACAAGCCAGTACTTGTGAGTAGACACCATGCTGGTATTTCTCCTAGCTTTCAGGGTATGCACACCAAAGGCCCAGTTTGCTTGTGAAATAGTGGCCCAGGGAAAATGCCCAAGAATGCCTTGCAAAGGAGCTTTGGGACCATTTGAGCAGGGAATTTTGGTGCCTTTAGTTCAGAAGTGTAGTCTAGAACAAGAATGTATGTTATGTTGGGGCTTTGGGTAGACATCATTGTACCTGCATGGCAGTTTAACTCTTCCTCTAGCTTACTCTTATATCCTTCGTCCTTCCAAGGGGATCTGGGGCTACTGTTTAATATGTGGACTTCAAGGAACTCACTTGTGTACTGCAGAGGCTTACAGCAAAAGAAGCTATTACAAAAATATGCTGGGTATTAAGAGAGAATATGCATTGGGAAGATGCGCCTGGAGGAATTAAGGGAGTCTTTGACCTTAGTGAGGCATTCAAGTAGTCTAAAAGGAAAAGTATTTTACCACAGGTCAGCTTTGGGGGCAAAAGGAAAAAGGAAAGAGCATCTCAATTGGAAGAAGCAGCATGTTCAAATGCACAGAAGTCTGAATAAGCAGAACAAGCTAAGAAACTGAAAGTAAGTGATTTGGCCTGATTTGGGAGTGCAGGGCTGGCAGTGACTCACACACATAATACTGGATGATACCAAGTTACCAGAAAGAGCAAGATAACTCACTTGCATAATTCCCTAAAGGCAGGGGCTTAGGATGAAAGCATTCTCTTGCCAATATACTTACTTTCCCTTCTTCTCTCCAAAACTTCCTGCTGCACCCACCAGCACCTGGGCTGCACTCTGGGATAGAGTCTCGTTCCTGTATTGTCTCTGGTAGCTTGCCTAAAAGAAATGTGCAGTCAAATTATTATATAGGATGGATAACAATAACAACTTAGTATTCCCTTTATGGAAAAACAGTCTGTGAGAGAGAAGTCGAAGTCCTTAAATAATCTAGTACCTTTATAAAAAAATGTTTTTATGGAATCCAGACCTTGAGATCAGTGCAGAAGGTCTGTCTCAGCTTTGGGTAAAATCAAACTGGCTCTGTAGGCAACTAGGTTCCTTAATAAGGCCTTCAAAAATAAGTGGAGTTCTATGGCCAAAAAAAAAAAAAATATGGGAAGTTCCTGATCCAAGTATATACCCATTTTAACAGTTTATAATGCATACTAGAAAATTCAAGGCTCTGAAAAATCCTGTAGTAGAGAATCCTGGTTTTTATCTTTCACTTCATTTTTCTAAATATTTCGACAATGGTACTCTATTTTCTCCAGTCTGGTATAAGCATTAAATGAGTTGTCACTGTTGTACAGAAAACAGTCATTTGTTCATTTGGTCCATATCCTGAGAGCTCACTTTGCTTCAGGCACTATGTCTGGTCCTGGAGAAACCACTATCTGACACTGCCCTGCCTCAGTGTGCTGCACACTGTTACAAATCACTGTACAGACCAACTTCCTAAATTGAAATGTATGATGTAACAAAAGGCTTTTGCTTCCATAGAACACATCCTGTCTGCAGGATCATTTATGGATATTAAAACGCAGTTTGCTCTTGAGGGATACCAGAAAAGGATAAATTTAATTTTAAGAATGAGGAAACAAAAGATTATTTGCCATAATACAGTGATTCAACAGAGTAACATTCTTCTTCTTAAACTTTATTGCAATATTTATGAAATAACATGAGATTAACATATTTTCTTTTTTTAATAATAAATTTATTTTTTATTGGTGTTCAATTTGCCAACATACAGAATAACACCCAGTGCTCATCCCGTCAAGTGCCCCCCTCAGTGCCCACCACCCAGTCACCCCCACCCCCCGCCCTCCTCCCCTTCCACTACCCCTAGTCCGTTTCCCAGAGTTAGGAGTCTATTTTTTTCAATATCCTCTAAGGTAAACACCATAGTTTGTAGAAAAATAAGGAAGCTGCAAGTAAATATGGAACTCATGAAAGCTTAGCAACAGAAATGACAAAACAGGTCCTAGAAAAATGTTAATTCCTAAATGATCATTCACATCCAAATATAAGAAGAATTTAGAGAATGGTTGATTCCTTCAAATAAGTGCCATTTATTGAGCTCTTTGCCATACTATAAAATTAGCTGATTTATGTGTATATTACACAGAATTATTTAATTCTTGCAGGAAATCTATGGGGAAGATATTCTAATCTCTATTTCATAATGAGAAAACTGAAGCTCCAAGAGTTAAGTATTTTTCCCAAGATCACATTACTCAGTTCTCTCTGAATTTAAAGCCTGTCTCCCCTTTCCTCTTGCCAGGCCCCCAAGATGGTTGGGGGATATTGTGTCTCCTATACCACCATCTCATCATGCTGTGCTTCCTCTTCTAATGTACAATAATAGAGAGGATATTGCCCCAGATAACAATAAATGGCTGATATTTAAGTAAAAGCTCTCAAAGCTTTGAAAGCTGTAACAGACTAGTAACAGTTGGAGCAGTGAGCATTAGAATCGAGGTTACAGAAACAAGATCAACAAACCTCAATTTCTTTCAGAAGTGTTCTGTAGTTTTTAGGCTATAGATCCTTTACCTCTTTGGTTAGGTTTATTCCTAGGTATCGTATGCTTTTGGGTGCAATTGTAAATGGGATTGACTCCTTAATTTCTCTTTCTTCAGTCTCATTGTTAGTGTAAACTACAGAACGCTTCTGAAAGAAATTGAGGAAGACACAAAGAGATGGAAAAATATTCCATGCTCATGGATTGGAAGAATTAATATTGTGAAATTGTCAATGTTACACTTAATGCAATCCCTATCAAAATATCATGGACTTTCTTCAGAGAGTTGGAACAAATCATCTTAAGATTTGTGTGGAATCAGAAAAGACCCCAAATAGCCAGGGGAATATTAAAAAAGAAAACCAGAGCTGGGGGCATCACATCACCAGATTTCAGGTTGTACTACAAAGCTGTGGTCATCAAGACAGTGTGGTACTGGCACAAAAACAGACACAGAGATCCATGGAACAGAACAGAGAATCCAGAAGTGGACCCTCAACTTTATGGTCAACTAATATTCGACAAAGCAGGAAAGACTATACACTGGAAAAAAAAAGTCCCTTCAATAAATGGTTCTGGGAAAATTGAACATCCACATGCAGAAGAATGAAACTAGGTCATTCTCTTATACCACACACAAAGATAAACTCAAAATGGATGAAAGATCTAAATGTGAGACAAGATTCCATCAAAATCCTAGAGGAGAACACAGGCAACAAACACCCTTTTTGAACTTGGCCACAGAAACTTCTTGCAAGATACATCCGTAAAGGTAAGAGAAACAAAAGCAAAAATGAATTATTGGGACTTAGTCAAGATAAAAATCTTCTGCATAGCAAAAGAAACAGTCAACAAAACTAAAAGACAACCTACAGAATGGGAGAAGATATTTGCAAATGACCTATCAGATAAAGGGCTAGTATCCAAGATCTATAAAGAACTTATTAAACTCAACAGCAAAGAAACAAACAATCCAATCATGAAATGGGCAAAAGACATGAAGAGAAATCTCACAGAGGAAGACACAGACATGGCCAACAAGCACATGAGAAAACGGTCCGCATCACTGGCCATCAGGGAAATAAAAATCAAAACCACAATGAGGAGGGGTTTTCAGGAAACATGGAAGCAGCGGCGACAGTTGGAATTTAAGCATTTTTTTGATGGTCTCTGGGTTCCCTGTGAGAGGAAAGGGGAGGATGCTGTTGGAACCATCTACCTCTTCAATGCCACTATCCTTCCCTCCTCCCTTACCCTCAGTACAAGATAGTACTACTAACTCTTCCCCACCCCCAATGTCTTACATCACTTCCCAAGAGATGAAGTGTATTCTTCACTGGTTTGCCAGTTGGTCAGGTCCCCAGTGTGAACGTTTCCTACAGGATCTGGTAGCTAAGGCAGTGCCAGGAAAATTACAGCCACTGCTGGAAGGGCTGGAGCAGCTTAGTATGTCCAGAGCAAACTGACCACCTTGTATCTTTGAGTGCCAGCTACGTCTTTGGGATCAGTGGTTTCGAGGTTGGGCTGAGCAGGAGTGCAATGAATTTGTCAGGCAGCTGGAGGTCAGTGAGCCAGACTTCGTGGCAAAGTTTTACCAAGCAGTGGCTGCTAAAGCTGGTAAAGACTGATGGACATTAAAATCAAAGAAGATAATCACAGCTGGTGGAGCCACAACTTTACTGTGAGAACTTCAAATGTGTCGCTTAAAGGTCTAGGGATGGTATTACAATCAGCTGATTGAACTTGTTGACTTGTACAGGCTTGATTATATCTTTGGAGGCAGGGAAGGGCAGAGGGACAGAGAGAATCTTAAGCGGGATCCATGCCCCACACTAAGCCTGATTTAAGCGGGCTTCATTTCACAATCCTGAGATCATGACCTGAGCCGAAATCAAGAGTTGGATGCTTAACCAACAGAGCCACCCACGTGCCCCAAGCCTTGGTTATTTCAATGTTAAAAGCCTATCAACTGGACTGCTCACATAAATGTTTTCCATCCAAGTAAATCCAGTCTGCCTCCTGGCTTGCTCCTTTCTACATATCAGACTCTGAAGAATTCCGTGGCTTCTTTTGCAAGTATAATGAGAGGGAACTCACATTATAACTCAAGCATAAAAAAAATAATAACCCAAGCATATTGCTGGCCCATGGGGCTTTTAAGTAGAGCTTTTCTACTCCAGAAGCAGGAGAGAAGGACAATAAAAGGTCATGTTTTTATAGTTTAACTGGATTAACATGGTTGGTTTCACTGCCCTTTCCAGATTCTGGCATAATTGTGTGACATGCCAACTATTAGCTTTCCTAGTGATGATTTTGTAAAATTATGAAAAAATCAGGAGAGGGAAACAATTAGTTACTCCTTCCACACTGATGTTTGTTTGAATCCAAATAGCAATGACTTCTAAAGTATATGTGATATTCTTAGAGCTGGTAATAGATTCCTATTCTGTAAGTTTGCTCTGTGATATGAAAACAAGTGACACTCTATAGGTTAAAGGGTTTATTTTTTGTATCAAAATAAAGAATCCCAGGAAAAAAAAACCCACAATGAGATACCACCTCACACCAGTGAGGATGGTGAAAATTAACAAGATGGGAAACAACAAATTTTGGAGAGGATGTGGAGAAAGGGGAACCCTCTTGCACTGTTGGTGGGAATTTGAACTGGTGCAGCCACTCTGGAAAACTGTGTGGAGGTTCCTCAAAGAGTTAAATAGATCTGGCCTACAACCTAGCAATTGCACTGCTGGGGATTTACCCCAAGATACAGATGCAGTGAAACACTGAAACACCTGCACCCCAATGTTTATAGCAGCAATGTCCACTGTGGAATGAGCCTCAGTGTCCATCGAAAGATGAATGGATAAAGAAGCTGCGGTCTATGTATACAATGGAATATTCCTCAGCCATTAGAAACGACAAATACCCACCATTTGCTTCAACGTGGATGGAACTGGAGGGTATTATGCTAAGTGAAATAAGTCAATCGGAGAAGGACAAATGTTATATGGTCTCATTCATTTGGGGAATATAAGAATTAGTGAAAGGGAATAAAGGGAAAGGAGAGAAAATGAGTGAAAATATCAGCGAGGGAGACAAAACATGAGAGACACCTAACTCTGGGAAACGAACAGGGGGTAGTGAAAGGGAGGTGGGCGGGGGGTTGGGGTGCCTGAGTGATGGGCACTGAGGGGGGCATTTGGCGGTATGAGCACGGGGTGTTATGCTATATGTTGGCAAATTGAACTCCAAAATAAAATTTAAAAAACAAACAAACAAACAAACCAAAATCAACAAACCAAGGTAAACATGAAAATATGTCTAGAACAAAGAAGGGCTTAAAAGATGCAAGATGAGATAAAGAGCTGGAGAGCAGAGCAGAAAGATCCAACCTACTTTAAAAAAAATAGGATTTCCTGGTTAAGACCCAATACAGAGCACAAAATCAAAAAAGATATAATGGTAGAAAACAAATATTTCGGGCAAAAAAATAAAAAAAGGTATGTGGAATGCATATTGCAGAAAAGAGAATATCACAAGCAGAGAAAAATCTAAGAGGTCTTGCGGTTAACATTTTCCTCTTTTACAAATGGGGAGAATAAAGACTAAAAAGAATAATTCATGAATCATATAATTAATGAAAGCAAGACTCAAAATGGAGGCTTCTGTATTGGTTTTCAGAGTTCTTGAATACCGTATCTTCCTGAGTTAAATTAAAACTCTGGAAGTAACTCAAAGATATAATATCATAAAATTTGCTGGTGGAAAAAAGCATCATATAGGTTCATCCTTCATGGCACTGCCTCATTTGCTTAGAAAAATTATTTAGGTCCTTGGATAAGGTGCCTTTGAGAGCCAACCTCTTTGCCATGTCTAATGCTGAAGAGAGAACAATTGTACCCTATAGACTTTCCATTTCCCAAGTTAGATTGAACACGTAGAATGCTTGAAATCCTGTATGACTGGAATAGCCAAGACATGGATGAGAGCTCCACATGCAATGAGGAAAGCTCAACATGAACATTTTGAAAGCAGGAGTCATGGGAATGAGTCATGATCTTGACCTGGATAGTAAATGGCAACTAGGCTAATAGCAATTTCGCACAGAATCTAGTATGCTGTGGTGCCACAGAATTTCTCTAACTTTTGTCCAAGATTTGATATGATAAATACTACTCTCTACTTACAGTTATTAGCAGAGTTGGTGGGATCTTTCATGAAGAAATGACGTGGACCCAGAAATGGGCAGTGTCGTAGAAATGGCTGCGTAACGCACCTGAAGGTTGAGTTCAGCTGTAATTCCTGACATTGGAATCTGTGAAATTCCCAAATCCTCTTAATAAAATACCTTTTACTTAGGCTATTTTGGATGGATCTATTTTTCTTTTCCTTTTTTTGGCAGTCAGATTCCTAAGACAATGCCAAACTTCCCTGTACCTTTGTAGCAATCTATTAAGTTATGCAGGTAAGCATAATCAAGATGTTGTTAGCAAAGGAGAAAGTTTTCAGTATAATTTGAACCAAAATATTATTTTAAAAGTGCATGATGATCAGTACTAACGATTTGTGCTGACAAGAGACGCCTGTTGGCCAGTTCCATTGCTTCAATGTTAAGGGTCTCATCTATTTCCCTGTTACAGTCTAGACATTTCACCTTTTGATGTTCTGTTGTGTCTTCTTGACTCAACTAGGGTGAAACAGAAATAAAAGCAAAACAAAACACACGAATATTAACCTATTTTTTAGCATAACCCTCAAGTAATTCGTGTAAAAATTTGGTTTGAAAAATGATAGAAAATCTTCTAGATACAGAAAAAGTGTTCAGGTGAGTTTCCTCATCATTTCACAGTTATCTAGCAGGTAAAATAATTGCTAGTGTTGAGGGAAGAGACTTGTATTTTTACCTTTACATGGTGTCTCTGACAATTTATAAAAGCTACCATATATGGGATCCCACTTTAAACCAATGGTCCTGAAAGTGTGGTCCCCAGCAGCCTCAGCATCACCTGGAAATTGTTAGAGATGTGCATTCTCAGACCCCAACTCAGACCTGCTGAATCAGAGACTCTGGGACAGAGGGCAGCAATCTGTGTTTTGTACAAACCCATTCCATGATCCTTGTTGCCACTAAAATTTGACAATCACTGCCTTAACCTAATAACTTAAGGTAAAGTAGAAAGTGAACTTAGCATTGAGAGATGGGGATTATGGATAAATTCCTTAACAGATGAAAAAAGCTGAAGTTTAGAGAAAATAAAAGATTTGCTCAAGATCCCAAAGCTATTTATTAAGTTTACAAAGCTAGGACACGAACCCAGATTTTCTGAATCCAAATCCAATCTATTAAGCAATCTATTTGTAACACCATAATATCTCCCATGTTTGATCATCTGTCTTCCGAAACAGATCAAGTATCAGAGTGAGGGCCTCAATCTTGATTTTGCACTAGAATCAGCTGGGTAAATGGAACAAAAATATATATGCCTGGGACGACCTCAGACTATCTGCATTAGAATCTCCTGATTGGGGACTGGGGAATAAAGTCATATTTTAATAAGCTTTCTAGGTTGGCAAAAGGCCACAGTCAGCAATTGGGAGCTACTATAGAAAATAATTGGATTTGACTTGGTACTTGTCATATCCAGAAATCCTGGCAGTATTCCTGTAGGCATAGGGCTTGGTTCCGAGTCCCCATCTGGAGCTTCAAGCACTGGTTAGTGGGCATAAAGTGGATTTGGGGGAATCCTATTTTATAGAAACCAATTTTCATATGTCTCCATTCCTAGAAGTTGATTCCTCATATTGTATGATGCAGCAAAACATTGCAAAAACTGCAACATACAGTATGCATTGAAATATTATTATATTGAGGGCGCCTGGGTGGCTCAGTCCTGAGATGGAGTCTGGGGGTCAAGGCTGGGCTCTTAGCTCAGTGGGGAGCCTGCTTCTCCCTCTCCCTCTGCCTGCTGCTCCCTGCTGCTTGTGCTCTGTCTCTCTCTCTCTCTCTCAAATACATAAATAAAACCTTAAAAACAACAACAAAATTACATTGAAAACTGGACCTAACGTAGGAGATAGCAAAGAAGCAGTGGCATTTGAGAAAATTCCAGAACAGCTTCTATTATTTTTCTTTATGGCAGCTATGAGATGACTGGGGAGTTACATGCCCTTCAATGAATAAGAAGTCTGACCTCAGAGTTTCTAGAGTATATCACAGAAGCAGGAGGTGACATCTCATGATACTGGCTTTGAATTCTATTTCATATCAAAATATAATATTAATCCTAAGTGAGGGGCTAGCAAGTGCTTGGCATATATACTAGTATAAACAAATGCTAAATAAACACTGAACAAAAGCACCTGTCCACTGTCAATCTGCTAAAAAAAACAGCCTTTATCTAAGGCTCACTCTCCTCTCTTATGACATCTTTTATAGGGAGCTCCAATGCATTGCTCCTTCTTTTGAATTTACACTAAGATTCCCTCCTTGCTGTTATGACAGTGGGTTACCGATACAACTTCTCTGTCAATTACAAGTATTAGAAATTTTGAATTAATATTTATAACATTTAGACTTACTTGAGGTAAGTGATATCCACTTTGAAGGAGTAAATAAAAGATATGACTTGCTTACCGCATATGGGTTTTGAAGTCTAATTGCCTTCTCAACCATATTCCAATCTGCATTAGCAAGATCTTTGTCAAATTTGAGTGCAGAGGCTGCAGATTTGGTTAGCTCTTGAAAGTGTTGAAATGTACAGTGAAGTGATTTATATTTTGTTGACGTGACATCACGAAGACCTTTGGTACGAAGAGTGTGTTTTATCAATAATAAAGACACCACCATTTTGATATGGATTATAAAGTTTCCCTTTGTTCTTACTGCCACCAAGTATGTTTTATTTAAGTTAGAGACTCAGCATAAATTGTTTAATAATAGAAACATTAACAATTTCAAGCTTTTCTATTTTCATACTCCTCAAAAAGGCCGAGGTACATAAAAATAACAGTAATAGTTAATATTTATTGAGTGTTTATTTTTTTTTAAGATTTTTGTACAAAGCCTGTGATTTTATTTTATTTTTTTTTAATTTTATTTATTTATGATAGTCACACAGTGAGAGAGAGAAAGAGAGGCAGAGACATAGGCAGAGGGAGAAGCAGGCTCCATGCACCGAGAGCCCGACGTGGGATTTGATCCCGGGTCTCCAGGATCGCACCCTGGGCCAAAGGCAGGCGCCAAACCGCTGCACCACCCAGGGATCCCTGAGTGTTTACAATATGCTGAGAAATCACATCTCAGCACCTTGCATCTTGAACATATTAAGTCTTTCATTACTTTACCCATCTTTTAAAAGACCCTTTTCCCAGTTTGATAGATGAGGAGACAGAAGAATAGAGGTTTGATGATTAATTTTATGTGTCAACTTGACTGGGCTACATGATACCCAGATATTTGGTAACATTATTCTAGGTGTGTTTGTGAAGGGGTTTCTGGATAAGAATAACATTTAAATGGGCAGACTGGGTAAAACAGATTGCTCTCCTCGTCGTGGGCAACCCTCATCCAAACCACTCTCTCTGCCTCGTGGTCTTTGAGTTGGGACATCAGTCCTCTCCTGCCTTTGCATTTGGACAGGAACTTACACTTTTGACTTTCCTGGTTCTCAGACTTCTGGACTATAGATCTTGGGACTTCTCAGCTTCCATAATCACATAAGCTGATTTCTTATAATAATGTCATATATATACATACATACACAGAGTAGATGATACATAAATATATAGGAGATATCCATGGAGGAGATATATATCTGTGTATATTTATACTTCTTACATATACATCCCTGGTATTTGTATCCCCTATATATATATATATGTATAAATATACAGAATGCATGTAGGATACATATGTAGGAGGTATTGATATAGATATATGCATATACATATCCTATCTAAATGTAATACTGTGTATATATATATGATAAATATATAAAATATATATTTATCTCCAGATCTCATTAAGGTTTGAAAGACTCTTTGTATCAGACACAAATTTCTTTTTATGAGCCATAGAAGCTTCCTTGGAAAGCAATAATGTTCAGTGAGCAAATTTTCTCTGCTCTCAGTGCAAGTAAACAAATGCTCCATAATAAGAATTTTAAGCTTATTTAGCTACTAAGTAGAACAAATGATACTCTTTGTGAAACCTCCCCTCTTTAATCTTTTCTTCCCAATTTACTATGTTAAAGCTCAGAGAATTTGAAAAAAAAAAAGAAAAAAGATTTTTTGCAAATACAAGGAATGAAGGTAGATTGGGGCATGCAATGTCATCCATAAAGATGAAGTCTCAGATTGATTAAAAGTGGCATTAGGATGAAAGCTCTGTGTAAAAGAAAGGGTGATAGAGCAGTTGGGAGTATAATGAATTAAAAGCGTCAGGGCTGGGCAGCCCAGGTGGCTCAGCGGTTTAGCGCTGCCTTCAGCCCAGGGCGTGATTCTGGGGTCCCAGGATCAAGTCCCACGTCGGGCTCCCTGCATGGAGCTTGCTTCTCCCTCTGCCTGTGCCTCTGCCTCTCTCTCTCTGTCTCTCATGAATAAATAAAATCTTAAAAAAAACAAAACATGAGGACCATTTGCTTTTAGTTCCTCAACTGCCATTACCTTGTTGCATGATCTTGAGGAGGAACTTTTTACTCTCTAGATCTCCATTTTTCCCTTCTTAACAAGTAGAGGATGAAAACAGGCATATTGCACAATCCAACTGCCTCCTACAACTGCTATTTCTGTTTCTATGCTCCTCATACCCAGCAATCAGTTATCCACAGAACTAGATTTAACCATATAATTATACTTACTTGCTTAAAACTGGTCAAGGAACTCTTTTTGCCCTTAGAATAAAAATCTTAACATCCAAGGCCTTTCACTACGTAATTCCTTCCTACCTCTCCATCTGTACATTCTCCCCTACCTGCCTTGTTCCCAAAAGGTCAGACTCTCTTTCCTTAAACACATTCAGCTTCTAGCTTCCTCAGGAACCTAGCACTCATTTTATTTTCTATCTTATTTATGTTTGATTTGTTTACTTTGATGCACACAAGACCATAATGCATCATTGTCAGTTAGAATAGTGCCTGGCAGATAGGAGGCTTTCAATAAAAGTTTGTTGAATAATTAAATAAACTTATTGTATTATTTATTTAAATTAGACCAATGTACACAAGTATCTTTTTATACAAGGTTATTGGCCTATACTGTTCATATACTTTTATACAGAGATCCAATTTTCTCTTCAATTAGATATACTGTTGATTTTTATTTATGCAGATGCTTTCTTCATCATTAGTAATTCTTTAGCATATTTAGAATGTCTGTTTCTTCACTCAGTGTTAGTAATTAGTAGGGCTTACCTAATTTACTAACTGCAATTGGCAAAATAAATCTATTGACAATTAACGTAACTAAGCATACTGAAACTCCATGAAATAGTATCTAGAATAGAAAGAAAAATACAAAGTAAGTATTCATGACAATTTCTTATAACATATTCTATATTTAAATTAAGCTAAATTGTATAAAGTCAAAAAGTCCTCATAGTAGGAGAGAATTTGAACATCAGGCATGTTAAAGTGCTCTGGGGATTCTCTATTTTCCTGCATATGTTTTATCCAACTTTTTGGAACCAAATCAAAACTCAGGAAACATGATTTGACAAGTAAACATATATTTATAGAGACACTGGAAAAAAAAAGGCTTGTCCTTAAATTCCATTGCTATACTTCTTAGATCTTGGGAATATGCCTGTACTTTATCAATTCTTATTCACTATACACACCACCGTGTGCATAGCCATTCTGTGTTCGACATTACCATCCATAGCAAATAATTCTCATCTGAAAAAAGAGAATCAATCAGCGTTCTTGATAGGTTGGCTTCACCTCATATTTTGCCTCTCTGCATCCCTTTATTGTCAGGAAGGAGGAGCAATTATGTCTTTGGTGCCACTTGATTCTTTTTTTTCCTACTTGTATTCCAAGTTGAAACAATACTTTTCAATCTGAGACTGCACACTTCTATTGATTTACATAGCTCCAACTTCTAGAATTTATGTTATACCCTTAGCCAGTCCTCTGTTTTTTGGCTACAGATGGAGGTTAGAGACAGATCATGAAACCACAACAGAAGCCTTCTAGGCTGCACATTAGAATCATTGGGAAACTTTAACATAATGGTGCCCAGGATGCTCCCACTGAATATTCTGATTTACTCAAGGGTGGAGCCCAAGCATTAGTAATTAGAAAAACCGAGGTATAATGTACATACTTGAAATGCACTTGTGTTCCCTTTGATAAATTTTTGACATTGCATACATTCACATAACCCTCAACCCCATCGAGAAGTACAATATTTTTATATTCCCCCACAACATCTCAAGTACCCCTTCACAATCAATCCTGTACCCCACGAGAGGCAACTACAGTTCTGATTTCTATGTCTATAGATAAGAACTGCCAATTCTAAAACCTTCGAGTAAATTGAACATTGTTTCCCATTGTGGTTTTAGTTTGCATTTTCCTAAAGTAACGATGTCGAACATTTTTAGTGTACTTAGTGTTATATATCCTTCCTTGTGAAGTGTCTGTTCAATTCTTATGCCTATTTTAAAAATTAGATTGTTTTTCCTTTATTATAAAATTGTAGAAAATTTGAAGAATATATTCAGGTGCTTCATATATTTTAACTAGTTTAATAGTTGTTTACTATAGGAAATAATTCTGATACCCATTATTTATTATGGCCAGCGTCAGAATTCCACAGGCATCGGTAATTTGCTGTAAGTTCCTGAAGCATTCTGGTGCATTCAAAGTTGAGAACCACCAAATTAGGTAATAGTAATACGAGCTAACATCTCTATAGGAAGCACAGAGCACAATATATGAGGCGTATTTAATCATCACTACAATTCTATGAAGTAAATACCAATATTGTCCAATTACATGGGTGGGAAACTCAGGTACTGTCACTCACCCAAGGTCATTTAACTTGGGAGTTGTGGAGACAAGATTAACTCATTTTCAACCTTTTCCTGTAGTGCTGCTTCATAAGTATTAAAAAGTTAGCTGTAGGATTCAGCCAACTTCAGCCAAGTTAAACTAAGGAAGAAGTGCAACTTCCTTCTCAACTAATTACTACTAGTGAGGGCATTTCATTACAAGATTTTATTTGCTAGAGTTTTATCTCAAATCAGGTCTACATGGCATCATTATCCTCATCACTATAGCTCATATTTCTTATACATTCACATTACATGCTAAACAATGTGTTAAGCATTTTATGTACGTTTTCTATTTCTCATCATAAGCCTTTAAGATTGTGGTGTGCCAGAACTGGCTTTTGGCAGTTCAAGAGAGCTGATCATTAAATTTTCAGGAAGTTATTGAGTTGACTGTTATTCTGTTAGAGCAATTAGGCAACACCAATTGGCAAATGCTATGAATTAGGGCTCCCTTTGACCCCTAATAAAGTTACTTATTAAACATTTTCTAGCACGCCCTTTTGAAATGAGGAAACTGACGTGTGATGGGATGAGAGTTAAATAACTTGCTGATGGCCACACAGCAAATAGCAGTCAACTAGAAATTCAGAATCCAGATCCATGTGCAGTGTCTACCATTACACTGGTCAGGATGTGTGGTGCTGAATCAACCTTGTTATTCAGGCATGTGGAGATAGTTAAAAAGAAGGGGTAGATCATGTAATATCACTTTGGTTTTAAAGCAGTGTTTAATTGTTCAATGATTACGCTATTATCCAGTTGAACATGCAATGATTCCCTTGCTGTCCTTCCCTTTACATTTGGAGTTTTTGTGTAAAAAAAAAAAACCCACAATGGAAGTGTTAGATGCATTGTGATATCTGCACAGGAAATTTCTTGCAAAGCTCCTTGTAATGTTCTTACCTGGAGATGACAAGGAGGGAGAGTTATACCCAACTGTGTTCCGTTAGGCAGAATTGGGGGCTAGTATCAGTGAGGAGGCAACTTCACTTGACAATTAAAATGTTCTGGTTCCTAGCATTACAAAATGTCACTGCACAAAATTACAGAAAGAAATAGCCAATCATAAGCAGTTTCTGCTTTTCTTGAGTGGGTATTAGGAGTAAGTAAAAAAAACCCACTTATTGAGTTCGTACCCTGTATTAGGTACTATTTTATTTATTTGTTTGTTTGGCACAGCGAGAGAACACAAAATGAAGGCAGAGGGAGAGAAAGAGAGAGAGAATCTCAAGCAGACTCCTTGCCCAGCATGGAGCCCAATGCAAGGCTCCATCTCATGACCCTGAAATCATGATCTGAGCCCAAACCAAGATTTTGATGCTTAACTGATCGAGCTGTCCAGGTGCTGTAATCAGGTACTATTTTAAATTATTTATAAATTTTAACTCCTTTAACCTTCATAATAAACTTATTTTAAGAGTGTAATGAAAAGGAATGCCTGGGTGTCTCAGTTGGTTAAGTGTCTGCCTTCTACTCAGATCATGATCCCAGGTCCTGGGATTGAGTCCCATGTTGGATTCTCTCTTCACCAGGGAGTCTGATTTGCCCTCTCCTTCTGCCACTCACCCTGCTTGTGCTCTCTTGCTAGTGCTCTCTCCAGCATGTTCTCTCTCTTTCTCAAAGAAACAAAAAAAAAAATCTTTTTTAAGAAAAAAGAAGCCAGAAAAGATAAACCCAAATGATTCAATCAAGTGATAGGTAAGAGAAGGAATGGGTGTGTTCATCTCTCTTTTCTTATTTGACGTGGTTTTATTGCTCTTGTAATGAAAAATATGATTGCAATATAAGGAAAGGATTTAGGAATCCCTTGAGCCTCCAGGAAGAGAAAAAGTTGTCAGTTGTTTTTCTTCTCTCCAGTCATGCCATCATAGCTAAATCTCTCCCACAGTCCAAGTAGGGTTGAGCTACCTCACGACAAAAACATATTTTAGTACACGGTAATAGTATTCATTAAATGTTCAAATAAAATAATTAATTTATCTTTACTTGAGATTTTTCCCTCTCAGAGCCAAAAGAAAGGTCAGAGTAGGCAAGCAGAAGAGCCATGTTTATATTAGGTGTTCCTTTCATTTCACTCCAGACCATTATGAATGCCCAGCGCCAGCTGAACCCATGCCCAAATCGAGACAGAAGAGGGCTCAATAATAGAAAGACCAGGAGTCTAAAAGACAAAAGAGATTTTAAAATGTATTCTTGCCATAGACATTTTTTTTCCATTTCATTCTACTCTATTCCAATCTGATCCCTGTGGAATTGCCAACTCTCAGATGAAGGAGTCATCTTTCACACAACCTTAGCATAGATGGCACCAAAAAAAGGCAGAAGGACATTTCATAGAGAGACATGACAAGAGGATGACATTATTCTCTTTATTTCCTTCTATTAGGTTTATAGTCATGTAATTCCATATTTCTTAGGCGGAAAAGAAAAAGAGATGTTTTGTAAATATATTCTCTTCTGGATCCCAAAAATAAATAAAAGCAAATCTAATGAATAAGAACTGAAGGGGAGGTGGAATGTCTTCCCTTTCTCTTTGTAGATTTTAACCTTGATGAATCTATCCAATATTGGCCGATTCATTTCGATTTTTTCTTTTAATCACACATTTCCTACATTTTACACGAATGGGACTAATTTCCATTAATTGGCACTAGCCAACTGATGTCGACGCCTAATTAGTTTTCCTAGATGGAAGTAGAATGCTAGCAAGGTGAGGAATAGAATCCAGAGAGTGTAGCCATGGTGGGTTTTCCTCCTCTGTGTCATGTCCTTTTTACATACATGGGCAGACTCTCTTCTGCCTCTTTTTTTTTTTAACATTTTATTTATTTATTCATGAGAGAGAGGCAGAGACAGAAGCAGGCTCCATGCAGGGAGTCCGACGTGGGACTTGATCCTGGGTCTCCAGGATCACACCCTGGGCGGAAGGCAGACGCTAAACCACTGAGCCTCCTGGGCTGCCCTCTTCTGCCTCTTACCATTGAAAAGCGGGCTACAAAAATTATTTAAGGAAAAAGGACATTTACAAAGAGGACTTCCTAATGATTTTTTAAAAGCTATTTGTAACTATAATTTAATCAGAAGGAAATTATTTGTTATGCAATGTTGGGCAAACAAAAGCAACATAAAACTTTTATTTATGATTGGTGCTGAACTTTATGAAACCTCATAGAAAAAAGTAACACTGGATGAAACAATAGCAAATGTTAACAGCAGTTGCCTCTAGGTAGTAAAATTATGAAAATTTTTTTCTTTCAATTATCAAAAATTTTATAAAGAGCTTGGATTGCTCTGAAATGCGGTTAAAAACTGGAAAAAAAGAAAAACCACCCCAGGAAAACAGCAATTTGCTAATGATTCCTTGGCAAGTTTAAGAGGCAATTCTTCATTTTCATTCTAAGGGATGAATCATTTCTATTTAAACAATATCTTTGGACTTAGTCAATGCCCTATAAATAAAAAAATTCAAATGACATTCTTACCTTAAAACAATAAGTGTGAAATAGATATTTAATGAATAATATATGTCATAAAATGATACATATAAATACGTATGCGCAGGAATTAGAAGTCCAATGAAGGTAAACACCATAAGAAAAGCAACAAATGAGAGACAATTCCAGAATCTGCATTTTCAGAAGAAATAAATGTAGTTAATTATAGTTAACTAATCTAACATATTTATCACAAAGTTACCCATGTGAGGCATTGTACTAGGTTTAATCAAGAAAATATGAATAAGGCATTTGCCTACACACAAAGGGCATATAATTTAACTGGAGGGGAAGGAACACTAAGACAAGTAAATAATTCTAGAGCAACTACATGTAAATGAGTGTGTTTTTTTGGCACTGATTCTGAAAATGTTTTGGTTCATTCAGGCATCATGATTCATATACTTGAGAATCCTAATTGTGAACTCCTTATATCATTAGGAAGAGCTAAAATTATTTGTCTTTAAAAGAAATGCTGAACCGCTAGTCTGCCTTCCAGCTAGCATTTAGATGTGAATTAATCCTTTATTCAAATGAATGCCCTTTGTAGATTCTCCATTTGGGATTTGTGAGCATATGTATATTCAAGTGCCCTAGAGCCCAGGAAAACTACATCACTCCAAGGTGCGTGTTCTCATCTGCTACAGGCAAAGCAATTTGGAAAAGGAAACTCAATTACCAATATTGATCATATTTCGGTGCTGGTGCCATAGGAGGCTATTTAAAATTTACTTCTTATTATCTTTCTATATATTTCCTGCTTAGTGTCATAGTATTATAACAAAATAAATATAGAAGAGAAGCATGAAAGAAGTAAGGCAGCCACTATGCCAGCATGCAGGGGAAGCACATTTTAGGAGCAGAAACACAAGGACAGAAGCACAAGCAGGGAGCGTGACTGGCATGTCTGAGGAGCCCCAGAGTGATCAGTGTGGCTAGGCAGGGTCAGTGAGGGTGAGAGTGGTGGAAATCAGGGGGACATATGACTTCATTTGCCATTAAAACAACTTTGACCTGTAGCCAGAAGGGATGAGAAGTTATTAGATGGTTTTTAAACAAAAGGCATGATCTCAGTAAGGAGGAAGTGAGGCCGGTGAGGAAAATCATAAGATTGACACAGTGTAGTCTCAGTGTGATTGCAGAATTGTTTGAAATGGGGTCCTAGAGACTTTAAGCTGAAAACATGAGAGGTGATGCACATGAGACAGTGGCAAGGACCTGCTGCAGATGTTGTAGGATATAGGAGGGTTTACCATTGTTACCCCAGATTTCTACTATCTTGGTGAGTAGGAGCTGGTACATGTCATATGTTAGACAGTAAGATTCCTGAAATTGAGATTATGAAGTGATCATTTAGAGGGTGTCATAAGCGGGATGGTAAACATGCTCATAGGAAGAGAGGAGGTCCAGGAACTGAAAGGTGGAGTAGAAGGATCAACTGTGTGGTGACAGAATAATGGTGTGGCCATATTTTCTCTTATAGCATTGCCAATGCTCTTCAAATGCCCTAGCTTAATCTTTTGTTTTTCATGACACCTCTTCATTGTCCTTAAAACATTGGTTTTCTATTCTAGTAGCAGTGCCATGCTTAGCCATATTGGAGCCTGAGGCAGAAGGAACTAATCAGTAATATTGGTCTCATCTTTATTTAAACTTTTTGTATTTTCACCATGGAGTTTCTGCATTAATTCTATTTTTTAAAAATATTGTGCTAAAATATTATTTATCTTGATTACTGTTTTTTTTTACACGTTCTTAAATTTTGTGCCTGAGATGAGTGCCTTCACATGCCTTAACTTAATCCTGGCCCTGTCTAGTGAATTATACTGGAAATTAGTAAATAGATGGGTAGAGAATGGAGAAAATTAGAAGGAAAAGGGAGCCCACATGAACTCAAGATAAGGTTCCAAATTTTGCCTAAAATTAGAGGACTAGAAGACACAGGAATAGAGTTTTTATTTTTTTAATTTTTTTAATTTTTTAAGAATAGAGTTTTTAATAAAGGATTTTAGTTGGGTAGTTTGGAGTCAGCATCTTACTTTGACCAATGTAGATGTAGATATAGTCACCAGTACAATATTATAGCTTCTAATTTGTAAAAATATGCTAGCTACTCACTCGAGAAGAAGCGTTTCAACTCCTGGTTTAAAACTTGTGGAATTTAAAAAAAGTCCCATAATGGCCAAGGTAAATATTCCAGACATTCCAACGATCTCACCTATTTTAAAAGAAATAAATATAAAGTATTACTTTAACATCAACAATGGCACAATTTTTACCTGAGATGAAACTATCATCTTGATATTGATAGTACAGTAACTTTATAGAGAGGCTACCTTACTTGGTTTCAACTTGATTATGTGGCGGATTCTTACCACCACCCATCACCTGTCTTCTTTTTCAGATTCGCACCCAACTGTGTTGTCAAGTCTGTACTGAACATCCTTGCACTGCTCTGGTTTCAGATCCTTGCCAACGATATGAAGCTCACAAACTCCTTGTGCCCCAGGGTGGATCGGGCCCCCTCTACAGGTCTAATTTTTTCAGAGGGGCTCTGGAGGAATGACATGGAAGTGAGCCAATGAGTTCTTTATGGACTAGTCCAGTTCCTGTGCTTTCTTCTTAGGAGACAGTAGGAGATAGAAATGGCTTGCCTTTGTGGCAGGACTCAGGCAATCAAGCCAGTAGAAACCCCATATGGATATACTTCTCCAGCTTAATTTTGTTTGGGTACATTTACTCTGCAGGACTGAAAAGCATATAAAACTGGAATATTCTTAAAAGTAGTTGTATTAGAGTTATATTCCCCCTTGCTTTTGAAAGTAGTATATTATCACTGTAAAAAATTCAAATAATTGGGATGTCTGGGTGGCTCAGCCATTGAGAGTCTGCCTTCGGCTCAGGGCGTGATCCTGGGGTCCCGGGATCGAGTCCCACATCGGGCTCCCTGCATGAAGCCTGCTTCTCCCTCTGCCTATGTCTCTGCCTTTCTCTGTGTCTCTCATGAATAAATAAATAAAATCTTTAAAGAAATTCAAATAATATGGTACAGTATCTTTTTTTAAAAGAGGAGCTGTAATCGAACTACCAAGACTTTAAGTACAGACCATCCCCAACTTATGAAGACTTGACATGGCAATTTTTTAGCTTTACAGTGGTGCACAAGCAGTGTGAAGCCAATAGAAATAGAACTTCGAATTTTGAATATTGATCTTTTCTCAGGCTAGCAATTTGCAGTAAGATGCTCTCTCATGATGCTGGGCAGTGGCAGCAAGCCACAGCTCCCAGTCTGCCAGGCCGTCGTGAGGTGGACAGCTGATACATTTGCAATCATTCTGCACCCCTAGAGCCATTCTGTTTTTCACTTTCAGTACAGCCAGGACTCAATAAATTACATGAGATATCCAACACCTTATCATAAAATAGACCTTGTGTGAGATGATTTGCCCAACTGTAGGCTAATGTAAGTATTCTAGGCATGTTTAAGGTAGGCTAGGCTAAGCGACGATTTTTGGTAAGTGAAGTATACTAAATGCATTTTTGACTTACGATATTTTCAACATACAGTGGGGTTGTATTGAGATATAACCCCATTGTGAGTCAAGGAAGATCGGTATAATTCTAAAAAAATTATATTAGAATTTTTATCATGTAGAGGACTGTATTTGTTTGGAAGAAATAATTTAATAAATTAGTTGAGAATAGAGAATGAGACCCAAAGGGCAGCTTTAAACATTAAAAGATACTTGTTGGGACGCCTGGGTGGCTCAGTGATTGAGAGTCTGCCTTCGACTCTGGTCATGATCCTGGGGTCGAGGGATCGAGTCCCACATCGGGTTCCCTGCCAGGAGCAGGCTTCTCCCTCTGCCTATGTTTCTGCCTCTCTCTCTGTGTCTCTCATGAATAAAAAAAAAAAAGAAAAGAAAAGAAACAGTTTAAAGAAAAAAAAGATACTTGTTGAATTTATATACAGATACAAACAGTAAGACTTAAACAGGAAGCATGGAAAAGTGAGGAATTAAAGGGAGCTATCAGATCTCATAGAACCACGAATTAAATAACTTCCCTTGTGAGCTCCCTTGTGCTCATCTTCAGTAAAATTTGCTAAGAACCAAAAACTTCTGTATATTTAAAAGGAGGTAGCAGGGATCATGAGGAACTAAACCAGCAATTTTCAGAGAGCATGAGATCTTTGGGTGCTCATAAGCTTTAGAATTGGAAATTCAAGATAATTGGATCAAGATCTTTAAGAAGAGTGGAGTACCCAATGAACTACTCATGATGGTATATATATGACAGCACACAGACAAAGCCAAACATTAAAAAAAGCTATAATAAGATTATACAGCAATAGAGTTTTGTAATAAGCTTTTTTCCACTTATTGTTTAGCAGACATTGTTCTGGTTAATAAATAAAAATGAAAACTTTTAATAGTAAAGAATATTGTGCATATACTACTTTTATAACGTTGCCATATTTATCGATTGCCAGGCATATTTGTTTTTTGTTTTGTTTTGTTTTGTTTGTTTTGTTTGCCAGGCCTATTTGGATCGCTTCTTTGCCCCTCCATTTCTTTGTCTTACTTTACATTACTTTGTTACAACAATCAGTATTTTAATTACTGGTGGCTTGCTTTTTTGTTTGTTTGTTTGTTTGTTTGTTTTTTTACTGGTGGCGTGTTAAATGTTTCTTACCTACCTAGTAGAGAAAGTTCTTCACTTTTTTAAAAGTTATATTGTCTGTTTTTACAATCAGTATTTCCAGATGATATTTTAAATTGGTAAAATTTCAACACCCTCAAACAATCATTGTTTGATTCAGATTGTGATACATTTCAATTTTACAAAATTAGTGACCTTAGCATACTACTGAATCTTCCCTTCCAGAGATGGAAAATTACAAGTTTTATATTCTTTATTTTAATCCTGGCTAGAGATGGTACCTAAGCCATAAACTAATGCTTTGGTTAGTTAGTTTTGAATTATAAAATAAGAGGGAAGTGTGGATATAGGCACTTTGAGGAGATTAAGTCCTTGGTAGTCATAGTCATTTATTAGGTAATAGTGAAACTTGGAAAATATGTATGGTGAATATCTTGAAAATACTAATAATATAAACATTAAGCCAGCCTCCTGGCTTAGCACAACTAATTTATCTTAAAATGAATGGAAGTTCTTTTACATTAGATTTATATTTACTCTGTACCTCATTTTCATGATATTCTGTTCTAAAAGTTTCCTTTCTAAAATGTTTATAGGGCAGCCCCGGTGGCTCAGCGGTTTATTGGTGCCTTCAGTCCAGAGCGTGATCCTGGAGACCCGGGATCAAGTCCCACATCAGGTTCCCCGCATGGAGCCTGCTTCTCCCTCTGCCTGTGTCTCTGCCTCCCTCTCTCTCTGTGTCTCTCATGAATAAATAAATAAAATCATTTAAAAAAATGTTTATAGAGACATTTTAACTTTAAAGGTTTATAATTATTTAAGGGGGTATAACCCTTAATCTTGAGGCTATGTTCACTTACTAAATGTGGTAGAAGAAATTCTATTCACTAGAATATGTTTTTTTGTAGAAATTTAGGTATCCACAATTAAAGTAGTATGTAAGAATGTATCTGTACTGACTGCTCTCTTGCTATCCATTAATTCATAAACTTGATTCTGTAAATTCACTTGATTATAACTGGCTTTAATCTACTGATTAGAGTTAGGAAGCCTCAAGATCCTATATTTCGCCTTTCTGTCTCAGACATGAAAATAATGATGTTGTTACTCTTGCATTTCTAAGAAGATGTTCTCTGTCTTGATTTATTCAAATTTTATATTTCTTAGTAAACTTTTATACTTTTCCATGTTTAGCCTCAAACTTCTTGTTCAATTTACCCCTTTATATTTTATAATGTTTTGCCAATGTAAAGAGAATCAAATTCTCATTATATTTTCTACCTAGCTACTGCTGGCTTATAAGACACTATCTTTTTGTATACTTATCTTAAATTGAGCTATTAAAAAGCCTTTTAGGCTTAGTTTATTAATTAACTCTTTTGGGTTTTCTCTGAAGTCTAAAACATGGTCACTAATGCAATCATTTTCTCTTTCAAAATTAAGGATATATGTCTTTCTTTTTTTTGTTTCTCTCTCTGTCTCCCTTATTGCAATAGCTAAAGCTTCCAGAGAAATCATGTATATCAGAATAGAAAACATTGCCTTGCTCCTAAATGTAGATGGAAGGGCATAGTGTAAGTTGGTAACTAGGTATTATTTACTGCACATGCTAACTCCAAGTCATGTATAGGGCTGTCTTGAAGAGCTGAGTTGAACAACTTTCTGAGGCTGCATCAGAGAACAATAATATGGTGAATTACTAATATCTGCCATGCTTCTGTGAGGAGGAAGTGGTAGGAAATGGATTAATAACATTGATAGATTTTCTAATATTTAGTCTTACTTGATCTGTAACTTCTATTTTGATTTCCTTTTTGATCTAAAATTTACCAAGAAAAAATATTTAATTTCAGGCTATTAGAATGACTATTTTTTAAAAGATTTTATTTATTTATTTATTCATGAGAGACACAGAAAGAGAGAGACACAGGCAGAGGGAGAAGCAGGCTCCCCACATGGAGTCCAATATGGGACTCGATCCTGGAACCCCAGGATCATGCCCTGAGCTGAAGGCAAACACTCAACCACTGAGCCACCTGGGCATCCCAGAATGACTATTTTTAAAGACTCTACTTCTGTAATTGGTAAATTGTGATTGTATTGTGATTGAACAGTGTTTGGGATTTCTTAAAATGTTCTTCAAGTCTAGTTCATTTCTTTAAATGAATTACTAGTCATATACTTTTCTACTAGTATATGTAAAGAATATATATTCTATTTGGGGAGATGAAACTATATATTCTATAAACCAAACATTTAAGTTTTTATTTATATCTTTTTATAGCCAACATTATTTTTTGTCCAACTGGTTATGAAATTATCTGGGAAAGGCAAACTGAAGTATCTCATTTTAATTGTGATTTTGTCAAATTGTTTTGGCTTTTATAGTTATATTTGCTTTATATATCTTGAGACATTGATTTCTGTTGTATAGATACTAATATTTTTATCCTTTGATAGGTTATTTTAACAAAAGCATTCCTTCTAGAGAAGTTGAATTTTTTTTTTTTTTTTTTTTTTTTTTTTTTACAAATTTTGCCTGGTGTGTATTTTCCCATATGTTTGTTTCAAATTTTTCTGTTATTTAGTTTTAGGCATAGGCCCCAGACTTACAAATAAAAAAAATGAAGTACAGAATTGAAAAGTTGAGACTTATGTGATTGACATCCTCTCCAAAAACAGTAGACATCCACAATTGAATCAGTTTTGAACTTAGAATTCCAAATAAGAAACTTGCTAGAAAATAAGACCAAAGTTCAAGCAGGATGTCCAGGACTGCAAGATAGGAGAGTAAACAGAAAATGGTTAATAGAAATTACTTGAACTTAATTTTAAGCAATACTCTAGGTCAGCTTTTCTTTTTGTCCTTACCTTTAAAAATAGCTCATTGCCATTGGTATGTATGGTAATTTCTTATTACTAAATTGAAAGTTTCTATTCAAATGCTGAAAGCCATATACAAGTTTGCAAAATTCAGTCAGTTTAATTTAAGAGCTTCTCTCAGTGCCCATTAAGAAATACACATGTAGGGGCACGTGGGTGGGTCAGTGGTCTGCCTTTGGCTCAGGTCGTGATCTGGAGTCCTGGGATCTAGTCCCGTATTGGACTCCCACGAGAAGCCTGCTTCTCTCTCTGCCTATGTCTCTGCCTCTCTCTGTGTCTCTCATGAATAAATAAATAAAATCTAAAACAACAACAACAAAAAAGAAAAACACATGCATTCAATAATTCTTGGAGATGCAGTAATGAAAAAGAAGTAGAAAGTCCTCAAACTCTTGGAATTTATATTCTATTATCTAGAAAGATCCTTGCAGGAAATACAGAGAAAGGAATGCCTCTTGAGTCCCAGTGGAGTGAACCTCTTGGGTTCTTTTGGCTTGCCAAATGAACTGATTGATTTCTTTAGGTCACGCCCTGCTCTAGGCATGTTAAGCCATGAGTTAAGGCATCCTGGTAATTTGGGGAGTCTAGCACCTCCTGCAACTGAAACAGAACAGAGATTGACTCTGATTTCAGAAAGAGGTAGGGAACTGGAGTTACAAAGACCCCATTTGAAAGTTGCTTTCTTTTTTTAAGAAAGGAAAATAGTTTTTAATCAGTAAAATATTTACTGCATGGAATTATTAGGCCAGGAGAAGCCTCAAAGAAAACCCATTATTTTCCTTCCTTTTCTTTCTTTCTTCTTTCTTTCTTTCTTTCTTTCTTTCTTTCTTTCTTTCTTCTTTCTTTCTTTCTTCTTTCTCTCTCTCTCCCTCTCTCTCTCTTTCTTTCTCTCTCTCTCTCTCTCTCTCTCTCTCTCTCTTTCTTTCGATTGCACTCATCTATTCATGAGAGACACAGAAAGAGAGGCAGAGATATAAGCAGAGCCAGAAGCAAGCTCCCTGCAGGGAGCCTGATGCGGGACTGGATCCCAGGACCCCAGGATCATGCTCTGAGCTGAAGGCAGAAGCTCAATCGCTAAGCCACCCAGGCATCCCGGAAATCCATTATTTCTTACAATGTTTTTAAACTCCTAGCATGCAAGGTGGAAAAGACAGACCTGTGAGTGTGGTAACTCCTCTTAGTTTTCCTCTTCATGAAATACGCTGATTTCAAAGATTGAGCAACATTATTTAAATAATTACATGAGTTTTAAAAATAATAATTACTATGAAAATGATTGATCACTATTATGTCATTTGTTTTAAATGAACTATCAGTAAAGCTTATCAAGCCTTTCTTTTTCTTAAAGGAATTTTTTCTTTCAAAGCTTTAAAAATCCAGAGAAATCCCTTGTAGCTGAGGAAATAAGTTTACTGTTCTCTTCATCCTTCAGGAGAGTTTTTATTTTTTATAAATAGTAAGAATTTGTATAAATAGTGAGAATATATAGAAGTATAGTAGTAGCATATTCTTAATACAAATAATGAGAATAGTAAGAATAGTAGTTCTTACTATTATTATTTAAATAGAGTGATTACTTACAGTTTTTACTTTTCTGAAATTTTAACACAAAATTCTATTGAATTAATTTTATCAAAATTATGAAGCCAGCTCTGTGAAAACAAGGACTATTGTGTTCATGGTTAAGCACAAGGCCTGGAATAGGAGCTATCACATAGTACATATCAACAAATAATTGTTGTATTAACAAATTAATTAATTACTCTCCATATCAGTACCCACCTCCTCCCTCTCTCTCTCTCTCTCTTTTGTTTACCAGTAAATATCAAGACAGTTCTCTTGATTAAATGTAGATGTCAACTCTGATAAGGTTCCCTGAAATTCTGTGGTCAATATTTACTGCCTTAAATGGAGCCTAGTAGAATACTGGACCAGGTTTGGAGGCTGGACATTTATCTGTCCAATCAGCACTTGTGACTATATTCTTGTATTTTTTGGTTTTCTGAAAGAGTGGTCCTTGAGTTTTAAGAAGCTCCTGAATATATCTCTTTGTTGCTTACTTTCATCATTTTTAGAAGGCCCTATCTGCAGGTAGTTTAATGGTGAAAGCTCTCTGGGTGGCACAATATGGATTTTGGAAAAGGTTGAATATATGTGGTGATTTGATTTCCTCACATACCACAGATGGAATATATGAAGTACTTAAAGAAGATGTACCTTCCTGTGCTAAATTGGGGCTCTAGGCTCACCACAGATATTCCAAGCTGCCATGGTCTGGATAAACGAATTGGATATGGAATAAGACTGAGGGTGAGTTCTCCTTATGCCCAAGTCGGGTAACTGTCCACCCTCTGGACCAGCTCCCTTGAGGAAGACATGAGAAGAGTGATGATACCCAGAATGGGTATTCTTGGGAAAGAAGAGTCTTTAATTCTTAGTTTTAGGCATTGATTATAAATATGTAAGGCATACATGGGTCAGAATAGAGGCAAGTAGGATCCCTGCTGCCCCACAATGAACTATATATCAACTGTAAGTCAAATCTAGATTCCCATAATTAAGAACCAAATTAATTGTGGTTGACTATTGTTTATGTAAGTAAGATTTAGAAATCAAGCTCTATGAAATAGAAAGCACCTGGATATTATATGGAATAGCATATGCCAACAATTTTCTCAAGAAACCTATAATCATTACTTTTCCAAGACCAGTGCAGTAGTAACACAGTAAAAAAAAAAAGCAAATAATTTCTTAATATTACTTTGAAAATATTTGATTTCATGGACATCCTTAAGAGGTCGTGTGTAGAGCCTCCCACCACATCTGATGTAGTGACTATACTCTGAGAACCACTGCTGCAGGAGGAGAGTATGGAATTTTGATCAGGGAGAGACACATAAGATGCTTCTGGGACTGCTGATGACATATTTCTTGTCTCGAGTGCATACCTGTATATTTTATAATCATTCATTATAGTGTACATATATCATTTATTATATATGTGTAGACATACGATAAAGTAATGAAAGATACTTATGTTCAGGGCTCTCTGAATAGGTAAACAAGCTCATGAACACCTTGCAATCTTTCTGTTTACAAGCACTGCTCCCAGACCCTGAAGATGACCATATAATTTCACTTGATATTCCCATGGGGAGATAGCTCCAGTGAAGGGAAGGCCAATTGCTGCATCCTCTCATCACTGGCAGGCGCACTATCTGGCCTATCTTCTGAGTTCATCTTCAACCGTTACAAAACAATATTTCTCATTCTTGTCAAGCATTCAACTCACCCTAGGTCTGTGGAATGTTGGCCCTATAAGCATCCTCATGAAAGTCCCTACCCAGCTTCACAATAAACCACAACAACTATTAAATAAGGGATGTGTAGTAGTGTTTTGTAAAGGGTAGATCACTATACTAATACAATTATAGTTGTATAAGCATAACTTATGAGAAAATATAAAATCCATATCAGCTTTTAGAAAATACAGCATTCTGATTTTAAGAAATTCAGAAAAAACAAGTACTTACTTATAGAATGGTTCATCTTCTTTTGCAGGTTGACATTAATCTCCTCAATACCACTGAATATAATCAAAGACATTATAGAGGTCATCAGACTTTCTCCATTAATTAAATTGACGAGGCTTCTAGAAAGACCTATGGAAGAGAAAATATTTTATTTGAGGTGGGAAAATCATCAACATTAAAGAATAAAATTTTGGGCAGCCCCGGTGGCGCAGCAGTTTAGCACCGCCTGCAGCCCAGGGCATGATCCTGGAGATCCTGGATCAAGTCCCATGTCAGGCTCTCTGCATGGAGCCTGCTTCTCCCTCTGCCTGTGTCTCTGCCTCTCATTCTCTCTCTGTGCTTCTATGAATAAATAAATAAAATCTTTAAAAAAATAATAAAATTTTATTAGCAAGTAGGAATATTTTCTTAGCTATAGATTAATGTCACATACTTCCCCATGTACTTAAATAAACTGTAGTCATGTTTGGAAACTCCCTTTAAGGAAATTTAATTATGTATCAGCTGTAAGTTAAGTTTAGACTCCCATAATTAGGAATGAAATTAATTGTGGTTGACTATGGTTTATATAAGTAATATGTAAGATCAGTGAACAGTCATTCTTTGTTTTAAAGCCCAGATGAAAACATGAAATTCACTAATTTTTGATAAATTTGGTGATTTAGCCAATATTATGTATTTTAGGAAGACAAACAACAATGATGGAGGAATAGAGGAAATTCATAAGCCAAGCTTAGGGCATGTAAAGTAAAGTATTAGGGCAATTGTCAAGATAATCTCTGTATGATTAGAAATTGGCTTGACTTTCCCATACATTCAAGGATTTTAAAATCAAGCTCTATGAAATGGAGAGCACCCAGATATTATGTACTCCCATCCTAATTTCCCTCCATATATGATGATATTCTAAGTTTAGATATCTATCAATTATCATTTTTTTCTATTAAATAGAATTGTAGTGGCAAAACTATAACTTTGACCATCTTAATGATTTTTCTATATGTCCATAGGAAGGAAATGTTATTACATCCCCGAACCACTCTATGATTACAACTAATAGAGTAAGTATGCTGTTGCCAGAGAAGAAAAGCCAAGGCATTTTGTTCTTGTGGAAGCTCAAGTACCTTAATGGTCCAATTGTTCGCCTCCTTATGCATCCATGCCCGTTTCTCTAAAAGTGCACTTTCTTTCACCTAAGAGATCCAGTCTGTTTTGTTATGCGACATGATGCAAACAGAGACTTAAGAAAGATTTTTGCTTCCTATCTCTTGAGTCTCTACCACATCATGATAGTGTTCCCTGGCTGCACTACTGGAAGATTGTGAGAAATACATGGAAGAAAGGTGGATCTTCCCAAGTGGGGCCATCCCAGATCACTTGGCCCTCAGGTGACCCTCCAGCTGACTGCAGACTCATTAATGAGCCCGGCCAAGATCAGCAGAGCCCAGCCATACCATCATAACTGCCAGACTCTTGAAAAATAATAAATAACTATTGTTTTAAGCCACTCTGTGTTTTTTTTTTAAAGATTTTATTTATTTATTCATGAGAAACAGAGAGAGAGAGAGACAGAGAGAGAGAGAGACAGAGACACAGGCAGAGGGAGTAGGCTCCATGCAGGGAGCCCAATGTGGGACTCGATCTCAGGTCTCCAGGATCGCACCCTGGGTTGAAGGCAGTGCTAAACCCCTGAGCCACCTGGGTTGTCCAAGCCACTGTGTTTTTTAATGCTGTTGTTGAAACTCAGAGTTGTTCCTTACTGAGAAAAACCTAACTGGTACTGTTGTATAACTATTCCAATTTGGAAAATGGAACTATAACAAAATGTAAATATTTGAAAATAGACAACTGACATGTGGGCATAAAAGGAGTCAACGGACCATCAAAAGCTCAAGACCATGTGAATGTATTCATGTACGCATAGCCTGGGAAGACTTTGTGTGTGTGTGTGTGTGTGTGTGTGTGTGTGTGTGTGTGTGTGAAAGTAAAATAAAACAAATATAAAAATCTTGCTTTGAAAACTCAGGCAAAAATGTTACCAAGAGAAAAATACTTTTTTATTTTTATGTGTGTGTTTGTGTGTACACATGTACACATGCCATATTAAAAGTCCACTTCAAAACAGATGTTGTAATTCCTGTTACTAAAAGCTGACTGGAGGAAAACAAATTAGGTATCATTTTTCTTAAATAAGGCTCTTAGGTTTGTGTGTGTGTATGTTTGTATGGGTTACATTGACTTGGTATTTTATTTTTAAATACAGATTTATTTCTCCTAGAATAGTATACACTGAAAACACTGAATATGTGATTTTATTGGTTTTGACTTTTCAAGTTTTTTGGTACTATGACTATAAAGGTAATTTTTTTAAAAAACAAATGGCATTATCCTGATGACAGTATTGTCAAAGGGAAAACAGTATTGGACAATAGAAATGTCACCATAATGTATATGCAAATTATTTGCTCCCAGAACCGTTGGCTTAAGGTAAAAGCATCCCAAATAACCCTGTTTTATTCCACAGTTGGATAAAATACTTTAAAAATATATGTGCTAAGTAAGCCTATTACTGGCATTTCGTTTTGTTCTAAACATCACTAACCCAAATCTCCATACTCAATCCGCAATGTCACAGAACCTTATTCACATAGTCAAAAGCTGCAGTGAACAAAAGATCTTAAAACTAGATATATAATGGGACTCCTGGGTAGCTCAGTGGTTGAGTGTCTGCCTTCGGCTCTGGGTGTGATCCCGGGTCTAGGGATCGAGCCCCATGTCAGGCTCCCTGCGAGGAACCTGCTTCTCCCTCTATCTGTGTCTCTGCCTCTGTCTGTATCTCTGCCTCTGTCCGTGTCTCTCATGAATAAATAAATTCTTTAAAAAAAAACTAGCTACATTAAGTATAGAATATGATATTTTAAATGTAGAAAAAGTGAAAAAAATATACCCACCAAGGTCTCTTATAGCAGCTGCCGTCAGCATGGGGTCTGAACTCACAAGGATAGCTGAAAATAATAACCATGCAGTGTTTTTCAAAAATAATTTATTCGCAGATGCCAGATACCAAAGAATAAATGTATAATTCATCAAAAAGCCAGGAATTGTAATTAAGAGTATCTGCAAAGAAATTTTATAGATAGAAAAATCAAATTGCCTTTGTATCCTATTTTAAAAAGCAGACATTCAGGATTATTGGGGATACAGCACTACACTGAATTCCTCAAAGGGAAGTTTTAAGTAATCTTATTTAACAAATATGTGCTTGCAACTCTGGAAATTAGAGGCAAATATTGCGATGAGATTCTTAGGACATATCAGTTGTAGGAAATACCACACTGTAATTAAAAAAGGAACTTTTAATTTTTTGATACGGTTGTTGAATATAGGTATGTATGTGTAAAGGTATATGCACACACCATATACACACACACATATATATACACATTTAACTATTCATAGAACTGAAACACAGCCTATTAACACAGTAAAAAAGAACACAAGTTTGAAAGAAGTTGCAAAAGAAGAAAAGAAGGAGAAAATAAGATAATAGAAAGGATGTAGAGAAATGACAGAGGACTATAGAAAAGATGGAAAGAAAATTTCTGTTGTTCTAGAACTAGAAGCTGGCCTTCTGCTTTCCCACCATTGCCTTCTGCTTCCTATACCTTATTGTATCAGTGGTCGCTATGTAGCAAGATTGCATTCCCAGATGGACTTAGAAAATGTGATTGTGTCTGAAGCTACTTATAAGAATTCAGAAATGCATCCCCATGTTCATTGAAGCATTACTTATAGAGCAATAATGTAAATTTACACTATTTACAATTATTTACAATAATGATGTACAATAATAAGACATGGAAGCAAGTGTTCATTGATAGATGCAGTTGATAAAGAATAGGTATTATATATACAATGGAATATTATTAAACCATAAAAGAGAAGGAAATCTTGCCATTTGTGACAACATGGATGAAACTGAAAGGCATTATGCTAAGTGAAATAAGTCAAATAGAAAAAGAGAAATACTGTATAATCTCACTTACATGTGGGATCTTAAAAAAAAAAAAAACCCTGAGACACAGAAAAAAGATAGGTGATTGCCAGAAGTAGGGGGTGGGGTGAGGAGGTTGGTGAAAGGGGTGAAACATTCATTGCATGTTTATTCGCCATCTGCTAGGCGATGACGCATTGCGAAAAGACCTAAAGAGGCACATTCAGAAGAACTAAAACATTAAAAGCTATCCTCCTTCTGATTATTTCTTCTTCATTTTTACAAGGACAGTCATGCATGATGAGTTGCATGCATGATGAGTCCAGCACTGCACTCTAATTCAGGACCCTGGGGTGCGCTAGTGCTAAGTGATTTGATTACATCACTTAATCATAAATCTCTTAATGAATCTTAGAAATGCCAGAGCAGGGATGGAGTGTTCACACGGCACCGTTGAGCCCTCGAGCTCCTGAGCAGGAGTCTTTGGTGGATAAATCTTGATGATAGCATTGTGATGGTGGGAGAAAATCAAGGCCTCCTACATAACCTACCTCTAGGGTGGCTGGGTTCTCATTTTAAGGTTTTGATCTGGAGAGTTGTATTACTAACTCTTGTTCAAAGAAAAAATTAAAATGAGGCTCTGAGACAAGAAGACTGAGGTCAGGAGGCCCAAATTCTTGTTCTCCCACCAAATAGCTGTCAACACTCCTAACAGGTCACATAGCATGTTGTTCGTAAAAGTGGCTGCAGTAATTCTGCTCCCTGAATTCACACCACTCGAAAGTTATCTCCTGCACTGACTTGGTCAGTCATGTCGTTCGCTTTGACTAAAAGGTACAAGAGCAAACAGGATAGAAGTACAGCCTAAAAAGTACTAGCAAATTCAAGCTTGCCCTCTTCTGCTGGTGCCTGAGACTCTGCAACCATCACGGGAAGAAGTCTGGAATAACCTTCATGGTAGTGACAACCATTGCCTACAGCCAATGCTGACTGTAACAACCAACAGACACACACACACGGGGCCATCCAGGCCATCCCACTTCAGCTGAGTCTACAGTTGTACAGAGATGCAAGACATGGCTCTGCAGAGATCACCCAAACCAGCCCGAAGTACTTTTATATCTTTATTCTTTTCAATTTCTTTCTTTCTTTCTTTTTCTTTTTCTTTTTCTTTTTTTTTTTTTTTTGGTCATTTGTCTGAACTCCCATTTGCCTAGACTCAAGTGAGAATGTAAGTTATTTTAATAGTTTTGTTTCCAAAGTAGTTTAGGTAATGGCCTTACATTTACAAAGCTGTTTTAATTACTTTGAAAGAAATGTATACCTTGCTTAAGATCTGGAGTATTTTTCCCTTGAGGTATTTCCTTGATTTAAGGATTTAGAAGGTCAGTATTTAAAACACGAATTTTATGAAAAATAAAAAAAAAACTATATATAGTTTCTGGTCTATATATAGACCAAATATATTTCATAGTAGCTCTCTAATCACATCTCAGAGTTAAAATTCTAACTGGAATTAAGCTCTCCCAGTCAAATTTTCAGAATTACCTTTTTTCCCATAATTTTTTTTTCTGAGCCTTCAATATGCTGGACAATCGCTAAGAAATAGTTTATTCACTAAAATATAAAGCTGAATTTACTTCTCCCACACATTATATTTTTTCCTTGTCTTGTTTTCTAATTTAGAGCAAATTTTTTTAAAAAATCTGAACATAGATAACATAAACTAGTAGTTCATAAATGAATTGTATTATTGAAAAGGAGTATTTCTTACCTGCCAAAATAACTTCTGCAGCATGTAAACATCCGTGTCAAATGCAACATTAAAGATAATTATTGGTGTAAACATATCAAAAACTAATTTTGGACTCATCCATTGTATGGCATCTGCATATGCTTGGACCTAATAATATAAAAATATGTCATTTTCTCATTTTTCCATCCTTCTATTAGCATAGAAGACATGCCAGTCGCTCTTATCTCTAGCAAAAGAGAAAAAGATATATCACCTATGTAATAGGTGTTCAAATCTTAACTCTATTGATTTTTATAATTTTCCTTCTTTTTTTGAAGATTTATTTATTTATTTTAGAGAGAGAGAATGAGATGTGTGTGGGGGAGAGAGAGAGTCTTAAGCCCCCATGTGGTCTCCATCAGACCACCCTGAGATCATGACCTGAGCCAAAACCAAGAGTCGGACACTTAACTGCATGCCCCAGGTTTTCATAATTCTCCATCAAATTGTTACCAGTTACAGTGCAAAGTTAATACACATCTCCATGCCCATTTTATTTTTTAAACAACAAACATAGAAAGTACATTGAGGGTGTCTGGGTGGCTCAGTGGCTCAGTGGTTGAGTGTCTGCCTTTGGCTCAAGGTGTGATCCCGGGGTCCTGGGATCAAGTCCCGCATCAACCTCCCCACAGGGAGCCTACTTCTCTCTCTGCTTCTTTCTGTGCCTCTCTTCTGGGTCTCTCATGAATAAATAAATAATTTTTTTTAAAAAAAGTACATTGATGTGTGTAAAAGAGATTATGAGGAGATTTTCAGGCATACAAGGGGAAGACAGGTTTAAGGTAGATGGATTTTCATGCACAACATCCACAAAGGAGTCATATCAAATCTCAGAAACTACAAATAATTAACCATGGCTTACATAGAAGATGCATGGAGAAGAATATCAGGAACAAAAACCGGGAAGTTAATGCTACAAATGAAATGACTAATCAATGGTGTTTATCAAAAAGTCTGTACTTGATACTTGTAAATCCTGTTATAGGCATCCACTCAACATTTGTTCATGAAGGAAACACTGATTGCTTGCTAATGTTAGGTGGTATCTTTGCTTTGGGGAGATGATTTTCTGTGGGTCTCTTGTGTTTCTCCACATCTTATGAGTAGAGAGATGATTGCTTTTCTTCCAGACTATTTTTCAAAAATATTTGTTCCTCTAACAGCTTTGGAAGATAGAGCCAAGTGCCCTCCGTCAAAAAAAAAGAGGTGGTTTACTATCCTGTATGGTGTAATTAGGATAATGTCTCCCTCTAGGGCAAGAGGTCAGATGAGCTTACTGCCCATCAGAAAATATCCAAGTTCAATTGAACACCAATAAAAAAGAAGGAAAGAAAGAAGAAAGAAAGAAAGAAAGAAAGAAAGAAAGAAAGAAAGAAAGAAAGAAAGAAAAGGAAGAAAAGAAAGAAAAGAAAAGAAAAGAAAGAAAAGAAAAGAGAAAAGAAAAAAAAGAAAATATTCAAGTTCTCTAAACTCGGGTTTATTCTCTTATAACGCAATCCATTGTGATGCAGGCTTCATCAGGCCTTCTTTGCTTCTCCCTGTGGGTGTAAGGGCTCATAGAACAGGCACAAGAAAATGCTGATACTCTGCCTTCTGCTATTGCTGTGAGTACTAAAGTCCTTTGTCTTGGGCCCAGGGGCCCCGTGTCTTTTGCTAAGACCATGAGACTAGGGCAGGCTAACCTATTTCTTGCAAATAGAGTAAAATCTTAGACCCTTCACAATTCTAGACCTATGTTCTCTTCTTTTAAAAGATCCTTGACAAGGGATCCCTGGGTGGCGCAGCGGTTTGGCGCCTGCCTTTGGCCCAGGGCGCGATCCTGGAGACCTGGGATCGAATCCCACATCGGGCTCCTGGTGCATGGAGCCTGCTTCTCCCTCTGCCTGTGTCTCTGCCTCTCTCTCTGTGTGTGACTATCATAAATAAATAAAAATTAAAAAAAAAAAGATCCTTGACAAATAGAAGCATTAAGTTTATACAAGTACTTAAAGTTGCATAAAATTTAAGACTGTACTATTACAAAGCCTGTTGATGACAAATGAAGTAGTAATCGGCTTCTGGTTCTTATATGGATACATGTTTTTCATAATGTTTGTTAATATCACTGGTTACATTTGTTTGAGAAAGTCAATCCTTTTCCTACATGTTCTCATTTACAGTCTGATTGATTAGAGCAGGTGTTGGTGAATTATGGCCCTGGGCCACATCTAACTCAATGTCTGTTTTTGTAAATAAAGTCTTTGGAACACAGCCCTGCCACTTCAATTATATATTGCCTCTGGTTGCTTTTGAACTATAATGGCAGAGTTGAGTAATTGTGACAGAAGGCATGTGGCTTGTATAATCTAAAATATTGACTATATGACCTTTCATAGAAAAAACTTACTGCCAACCCCGGGGTTAGAGAACTATTTAATGTGTCAATGATGCATTCTACCTCCCTTATAGTAAAGATAGTCTCCTCTTACCTGACTCCAGCCGTTCTCAACTATTTATAACACTGTAGCTGCCTTGACTACATCTGTAGTTTGCCTTCGTCCTCACGTACAACTCCAGGCAAGAGGTTCAACTTCTGTTCCTTGAGATCTTATAAGCCAAGCACACTTAAAGACTAGCCTCTATTCTAATAAGAACCCTCTAAAACATTCCTAACTGAGGGAATAGATTGGTTTAATGTCAGAATTCTCTTGCTACTAGAGTCCAGTACCAGCAGCCCAGTGTCTCTGGGCTTCTATCTTATTAACCAATTCTTATCTAAGCTTTTGAATTCTGCTTAAACTGTCATTAGTTGCTCACACTCTTGGTGGGTGTACATGAACTCATTCTCTGAGTTGTCCATCTCCTTTCAGATGGAGGCTCTGTTTTGATGACGTTTAGCTGGACCTCAGCTCTGTCTTGCCTGGTTCCTTTTTTCACACATTTGACCTGATTTATCCAGATCACAAGCATCCATCAACTGGCAGAGCAGTGAATTGGCAAGTATTTTTACAAATTTCCTTAAGCCATCTTTGTATTTGTATGAATTTGAGATATAGTACAAAATACTCATATTTACTATACACACCTGCTCAGATGTAAAACTTAATATTTCAAAACTGCATCCAATTAAAAATAATATCACAGGTAGAGGAATTGGAAAGTCTTTTAAGTGTAGGTTCAAAAATGCTGCAAAAAAATACATCTTTACTGAAAGGCAAGAGAAATAAATACCACATTTATAGAACTTTCATATGATTAATATGATTCATAGGACTTTGATATGATTTCTTAATACTGAGGACAATGAAATGCCATTCCACTTTTCACTTAATTCCTGTAATTGAAACCCTTCCTCATACTTAAGCACACCGAATCAGTGTAATTATTAATCTGCTAGACTCTGTAGTTACCTCTTCTATGAAGTATTTCATTGCCGTAGAATCTTTAGTAAATATTGCTAGAAATCACTGACTCTTGGGTTATTACTAAAATATGTATAGCAACTTTTTGTACATGCTATAAATCAGATATTAATTTCTTTAGCAATTTTCCAATAAGAGGTCAATAAATAACTAAACTTTAATGAAATCTCCTGGCTGATTCCCAAAATAACAATGAGGAAATAGGTATAAGAATTTGCCCAATGAGGGGATCCCTGGGTGGCGCAGCGGTTTGGCGCCTGCCTTTGGCCCAGGGCGCGATCCTGGAGACCTGGGATCAAATCCCACATCGGGCTCCCGGTGCATGGAACCTGCTTCTCCCTCTGCCTATGTCTCTTCCTCTCTCTCTCTCTGTGACTATCATAAATAAATAAATTTTTAAAAAATTAAAAAAAAAAGAATTTGCCCAATGAGAAAAACTAGCATCCTACAACTGGTTACCTACTACACATTAGAAGGCCTATAATGAATTGTTATCAAAATCCAATAAGCAATATCACAGCATTTCCTTCAGTTTAATGTTTTCTGCTTCTTTGTAACATAATTTCTAATCAATCAATGCAAAAAAAAGGTGCTTTCTTTTGATTTCTACAGTATTCTTTTCTTCTCATGAAAGTTAGGCATAATTTATCTTTTGAACAAAACCTATGGGACATTCCACCATGTGGTTAAAAATAACTCACCCACTCAGAAGACATATCATTTTGAAAATTTTTTGCCCAAAGAAAGACATACATAATTAGCTTTAATATATAAATGAAACTATAGTTTGTGAGAATACAGATAACAATCAAAGTCCCCCAACCCTTGATTCTTGGCTCATCTGCTTCAATTCTTCTTATCACTTAAGTTTAACTAGGATCTATCTATCAAGTAAATGGTGTGACTACTTTGAATTCAATAAAAGGTTGAAGGATATGAATCAGACTCTACATGTCTCTTTCAGGGGCAGATTATCATTGAATTCATTTAGCTGATAATCTTGGGTTAAAAGTATGAATTTAGGAATAAAATTCTGATTTTCTACTACTGCTACTTTCCTCAGTTCTATATGGTGACATTTACTAGATATATCCATAGAATAAACTCAAATAAAGAGAGTTACACCTACCTCCAACTGTGCAGATCAAGGACAATACTAGAATGATTTTAGGGAGATCATCAGAAGCATTAATAAATGTATTTCTTAAAAATTCCAACCATATGCTAGGAAATCCTTTGGTAAGTAGAGTGAAATTAGACAGAGTGTGATTCAAATCCATTCTGTTGTTTCTCACAGACCATCTGAATTCAACTCTTAAGACACAGCAACACTCTCACAGGATCAAAGGATTGTAAAATTTGCTTTCGTCCTGGCCTTGTAGTGCTTTTCTTTAAAAAGAAGAAGAAGGAGGAGGAGGAGGAGAAGAAGAAGAAAGAAGGTCATATTTCTCCATAATTCTTTTTGGTGATATCTTAGGGTCCACCAAATTTAGACAACCCTCTACCTTCTATGATGCTTACAATTTAAATGAGATAGAAAAGGTACAACCCCAAGTGATAGACACTAGCCAGTGTCACCCTGTGTTCACTTATAAGCCAAGCACTACTCAGCTGTTAGTCATTCCACATCTACCCAACCGTTTGAAAGGAGTTTTCATCTAATCAGTTACTGGGGCCACAAGCTGGCATAGACAACTGAGGGGTCTGTTTTCAGCATATCTGAGCCTCTGGAAGCATGTTCCGGCAGCTATTCCAAAGTGGGAAATGGGATGGGGTCAGAATATTCTGATCTCTTTTGTTGTTCTCTCCAAACAGAATAATTAATAAACTATGGTGATCTCTCATCACAGCCTTTTATCTCACCTGGGAGTGATAAGCTAGGTTTTCTCTGATTCTTATATATTCATATATAGTGACCAAGAATAGAAGAAAAATGTTAAAATCAAAAGAATTTAAGACAAGGGGAATTATTACATGTTGTATCTTATTGTTACTTCATGAAAGAGGAATCACGAGGGCCCCAATGTGTCCTGGGATGTGTCTGGTTTGAAGAAGTAGGTAATAGCTACAGTCTGCTAATCTGCTTCCCATGCTAAGGAAAGTTTTATATCAGGGTCTTGAAAGTCATGCCCAGGAATTCTCCAATTCCAAGTCATAGTAGTGACTTAACATTTTCTAGTGCCTACTATTACCATCTTATCTGGCTGTTGTGCTTAATCAATTATTTTACTAAACTTCCCCTCATAATCCCATAATTTTCTTTCTTTCTTTCTTTCTTTCTTTCTTTCTTTCTTTCTTTCTTTCTTTCTTTCTTCTTCTTCTTCTTTCTTTCTTTCTTCTTTCTTCTTTCTTTTTCTTTCTTTTCCTTGAGAGAGAGAGAGAGAGAGAGAAAGCACAAGCAGGGGGAGGGCAGAGGGAAAAGCAGCTTCTCTGCTAGTAGGGGGCCCAACATGGGGCTCGATCCCAGGACCCTGGGATCATGACTTGAGCTGAAGGCAGACACTTAACTGAGTCACCCAGGCCCCCCCCAAAAAAATGTCTTTTTAAAATGCAAATTTCAATGTCTTTTTAAATTTCAAACATGTACGTTTTATTATAGGCCCTTTTCTGATTATAAAAAGTGTTTTGAAAGAGAAAATTAAGTGAATACATGTTTATTAAACACTTTTGAAATAAATATGTAAACAAACGTTTCAAAAAACAGGAAAAAAATCAACCACAGTCATGCCGTCTTATGGCTCTTGTGTGTTTTATTTACACAGTTGGGCGCATCCTTAAAAAATTATATTTTATGCTGCTTTCCACTTGGTATGTATCACTAGCATCAAAGAGCCTTGCAAACACCATTTATAAAGCTTGTATCCTATTAGCACCAATGCAAACGTGCTGACTGTGGTAGGGCTGCCTGTAAGTGAAGGCCTGAGGGGCTGCGTTTTGCTGGGGGAAAGACTCTGGGTAGCTTCCTTCACGGCTGTTGGCCTCAGCTTTCCCATCTGTACAGGTCCATAGTCCATGTAACTTATCTGTGTTTATTATATTTATTTGGCATCACCTGTGGTGTTATAATGATACTGGTCCCTGGCTCCTATCCCCAGGGATTTCTATTTAAATCAGTCTGGCTTGCAGCAGGGCTCCACGAACAAATTTAATGTGTAGGTAAGGTCAGCAACCACCATGGTTCACCCAATTTAAAGGCAAAATTGTTCAATTTTTAGTCTCAAATCCAGTTTCTTTTTAATATTCTTGAGTCAGGTTTTGTGAGAAAGAGTATCAATGCCCTTTGGGCAAAGACCACCAAAACCACATCTGAGGTTGGTAAGTTGGGTTCATCGTTTGTCACGATAAGGGAGAACATTTACCCTGGGGAACTGTGGGGCGTTTTAGCAGCAGGATGTTGAAATTATTGTGGATCTGGGCTCTGGCTGGGTAATTCTGGAGCAGATTTAGAAATCCTAGAAAATTTTCTTAGAATCCTAGAAAAGCAAGGGTTTACTATAAACTTATGCTGTCAGAAAGCAAGGATAATTCTGTGGCTGGGTATCTTAACATATCTGTAGGGAGGGCAGGCTGGAATAAGGATAAAGCTGTCATGGGGAAAGAAGCAGCTGTCACTCATTTTAGCCAAGTGAGGGGATATTTGGGATCTATGGGTTACCTGGTGACTTTTTGTTTCACTTTATTATGGTATTGAGTGACCTCATCTGATGCCGATGTTCTGTGAGACTGTGTCCAACAAGAGAATAACATAGACTATATATGAGCAACAGACCTGCTGGTAGTGACACTGAGTGACATCTAGCTTTGTCAGACCAGCTCTCTGATGTCAGGGGCTCCTTTTTGTGTTGTGTTGTTGTTTTTTGTTTTGCCCTAAAGGATTTCTAAATTCCTTAACCTTACTTTATCACAGTCAAGAGCTAAAGGTAAACCAGGGGATCTTGATAGCCATATAAGTGAAAAAGCAAAGCAAGCCTGGCGATTCCTCTAGGACAGAGATTCTTAACCTTGGCTCTGCACTGGAATCACTTAGAGAGTTTTAAAAATACAGAGATAGGGGAGCCTGGCTGGCTCAGTTGGTAGGGCATGGGACTCTGGATTTGGGGCTGTACACATGAGCCCCATGTTGGGTGTAGAGATTACTTAAAAATAAAATCTTAAGGCGCCTGGGTGGCTCAGTGGTTGAGCGTCTGCCTTCGGCTCAGGTCATGATCCTGGGGTCCTGGGATCGAGTCCCACACCAGGCTCTCCCCACAGGGAGCCTGCTTTTCCCTCTGCCTATGCCTCTGCCTCTCTCTGTATGTCGCTCATGAATCAATAAATAAAATCTTAAAAAAAAAAAAAAGAAAGAAAATGCCTCCATTCGCGCACTGTGCGTGGAGTTAATGACTGCTCACTCAAAAAGGGCATGTATCTTTGTCCTCAACAGTCAGTCACCCTTAAGAAATTCTCTGCCATGGAAAAGTGGAAGTCAGACTAGTTCCCTGCCCCTGAAAAGGGGAGTTCTTTCCTATGATCACCACAGTTTCCAGGAAGTAGCTGACAAAGCACCCTGATGAGGGCACGGCGGCATCCCAGTAATCTTCACATGTGCAAACTCTGGCCTAATGGTTTGTGACAGACCCATGCCTGAGGTCCTGCCACACTACACAGCAGCTCTTACTCATGGACTCTGAGGTGGGCCGTCGGGTGCCCTCCTAATGCCTCTTCACTCCCACGGAGCCCTTCCTCCTCCTCAGCTCAGCTCCATCACCTGAGGAGATGGACCAGGGCGTCTGGGTGCTTCCCTCTCAGGGCCTCAGCAAGGCAAAGGGAGCCAACACAAGCCAGATAAATAGTTGGGAGGGGTGATAGAGGAAGAGTCAGGGAGGAAGGGCAGGGGCTGAGGGCCAGAAAGGCCAACTGAGAGGCTCCTCTGCCTGGCTTTGGCTGCCATGAGGAAGGATGGAAACTCCAGGAGGGAATGGCTGGCCGAATGGGTAGCTGGACCACTTGGGAGCATTTGATCCTCTAGGAGGGAAGGCCGAGGGGGAAAGCACCAGAGAGGAAGGGCAACTTCTCGAAGGGGAAACTGGGCTGGCTCACCGTCCAGAGCCTCAGGAGGAATATCCTGAGGGAGTAAATGAGAAGTGGAGGCGAGCGATTCTGTTCACCCCAGAAGAGCCACAGTCAACTGCATCCTCGCTGGCAGTTACTTGCTCCAAGCCCCGCCCCTGCTCTGCACCCATTGGCTTCAGCTTCATAACTCCCGACTTGATTGGCTGATGAAATACACCTGAAGATGCTCTTCAGCATCATTGCCCCTTTCCTGCCAACGCAACCTTGGAAGTCTTAAGGCCGTGGTTATTTAAAATAGTAATCATAAATAGACAAATGAAGGTGAAAAGGAACCCCACGGATTTTGCTGCTATGTTAACTTAAAGTTTTAAACAATGGATTTCTGGCAAAGAGCCGATGGACACTGTTTTCCTAAAATTCTAGAAGAAGTGGGTTTCCTGGGAAAGACAGGGTGGTATAGATTTTGAAAAATGAGGAGGCAGGTTGCTGGGTAAGAAAAAAGAGAGAGAGAATGGCTATTTGGGACAGGTAGGAGAATGGACAGGCTTGGTGGACTTTCACTTCTGGAACATTTATGTGTGGAATTTTTAGGAATAATGATATACTCATTCTTTTTTTTTTAAGATTTTATTTATTTATTCATGAGAGACACACACACACAGAGAGGCAAAGATACAGGCAGAAGGGGAAGCAGGCTCCATGCAGGGAGCCCCATGTGGGACCTGATCCCGGGACCCCAGGATCACGCCCTGGACAGAAGGCAAACGCTCAACCGCTGAGCCACCCAAGCATTCCTGATATACTCATTTCTTGTTCCTAAACATACTATATAAAGGATATTTTAATTGAAATTACTTACTTATAGTACCATAAAGCCAATTTTCATATTTCTACTATCATCATGAAATATTTTAGGAGACATTTTGTAATGATTTTGAAATTTAGATACTTACATGGCATATGTGATATCTTCATAATTTTACTCACACAAAACCTTTGTGAAGTTATCTCAATGCCTACAAAAAGGTTTGTGCAGGGAAGAGAGGTCATAGAATGGGGAAGCTAAAGGTGAAGCCACCAAAGACAGAAGTAAATGCTGAAGAATGGCTGATTAAATTATCCTCCTGGCCTGCAGAGAATCTTTCACAGACTTCATAGGTGGTCTTGTA